CAACTCCTACTGCTCTCTCTTCGTCTGACCATGTGTTCTCGCATACCCCGAGAGCATCTGGTCAGCGGGGTGGTGGCACAGGAATCCTCATCGCTCCCAAGTGGACATTCTCTCTTTTTCCCCTGACCCATCTGTCTATCTCCTCATTTGAATTCCATGCTGTCACAGTCACTAGCCCATTCAAGCTTAACATCCTTGTCATTTATCGCCCTCCAGGTTCCCTTGGAGAATTCATCAATGAGCTTGACGCCTTGATAAGTTCCTTTCCTGAGGATGGCTCACCCCTCACAGTCCTGGGTGACTTTAACCTCCCTACATCTACCTTTGACTCATTTCTCTCTGCCTCCTTCTTTCCACTCCTCTCCTCTTTTGACATCACTCTCTCACCGTCCCCCCCTACTCACAAGGCAGGCAATACGCTTGACCTCATCTTTACTAGATGCTGTTCTTCTTCTAATCTCACTGCAACTCCCCTCCATGTCTCCGACCACTACTTTGTATCCTTTTCTCTCTCGCTCTCCTCCAACACTACTCACTCTGCCCCTACTCAGATGGTAATGCGCCGTCGCAACCTTCGCTCTCTCTCTCCCGCTACTCTCTCCTCTTCCATCCTATCATCTCTTCCATCTGCTCAATCCTTTTCCCTCCAAACTCCTGATTCTGCCTCCTCAACCCTCCTCTCCTCCCTTTCTGCATCCTTTGACTCTCTATGTCCCCTATCCTCCCGGCCGGCTCGGTCCTCCCCTCCTGCTCCGTGGCTTGACGACTCATTGCGAGCTCACCGAACAAGGCTCCGGGCAGCCGAGCGGAAATGGAGGAAAACTAGACTCCCTGCGGACCTGGCATCTGTTCACTCCCTCCTCTCTACATTCTCTTCCTCTGTTTCTGCTGCTGAAGCCCCTTTCTACCACTCTAAATTCCAAACATCTGCCTCTAACCCTAGGAAGCTCTTTGCCACCTTCTCCTCCCTGCTGAATCCTCCCCCCCCCCCCCCCCCCCCCCCCCCCTCCCTCTCTGTGGATGACTTCGTCAACCATTTTGAAAAGAAGGTTGACGACATCCGATCCTCGTTTGTTAAGTCAAATGACACTGCTGGTCCTGCTCACACTGCCCTACCCTATGCTTTGACTTCTTTCTCCCCTCTCTCTCCAGATGAAATCTTGCGACTTGTGACGGCTGGCTGCCCAACAACCTGCCTGCTTGACCCTATCCCCTCCTCTCTTCTCCAGACCATCTCCGGTGACCTTCTCCCTTACCTCACCTCGCTCATCAACTCATCCTTGACCGCTGGCTATGTCCCTTCCGTCTTCAAGAGAGCGAGAGTTGCACCCCTTCTCAAAAAACCTACACTCGATCCCTCCGATGTCAACAACTACAGACCAGTATCACTTCTTTCTTTTCTCTCCAAAACTCTTGAGCGTGCCGTCTTTAGCCAACTCTCTTGCTATCTCTCTCAGAATTACCTTCTTGATCCAAACCAGTCAGGTTTCAAGACTGGTCATTCAACTGAGACTGCTCTTCTCTGTGTCACAGAGGCTCTCCGCACTGCTAAAGCTAACTCTCTCTCCTCTGCTCTTGTCCTTCTAGACCTGTCTGCTGCCTTTGATACTGTGAACCATCAGATCCTCCTCTCCACCCTCTCCGAGTTGGGCATCTCCGGTGCGGCTCACTCTTGGATTGCGTCCTACCTGACCGGTCGCTCCTACCAAGTGGCGTGGCGAGAATCTGTCTCCGCACCACGTGCTCTCACCACTGGTGTCCCCCAGGGCTCAGTTCTAGGCCCTCTCCTATTCTCTCTATACACCAAGTCACTTGGCTCTGTCATATCCTCACATGGCGTCTCCTATCATTGCTACGCAGACGATACACAACTAATCTTCTCCTTTCCCCCTTCTGATAACCAGGTGGCGAATCGCATCTCTGCATGTCTGGCAGACATATCAGTGTGGATGACGGATCACCACCTCAAGCTGAACCTCGGCAAGACGGAGCTGCTCTTCCTCCCGGGGAAGGACTGCCCATTCCATGATCTCGCCATCACGGTTGACAACTCCGTTGTGTCCTCCTACCAGAGTGCGAAGAGCCTTGGTGTGACCCTGGACAACACCCTGTCGTTCTCCGCTAACATCAAGGCGGTGACCCGATCCTGTAGGTTCATGCTCTACAACATTCGGAGAGTACGACCCTGCCTTACACAGGAAGCGGCACAGGTCTTAATCCAGGCACTTGTCATCTCCTGTCTGGATTACTGCAACTCGCTGTTGGCTGCGCTCCCTGCCTGTGCCATTAAACCCCTACAACTCATCCAGAATGCCGCAGCCCGTCTGGTGTTCAACCTTCCCAAGTTCTCTCACATCACCCCGCTCCTCCGCACACTCCGCTGGCTTCCAGTTGAAGCTCGCATCTGCTAAAAGACCATGGTGCTTGCCTATGGAGCTGTGAGGGGAACGGCACCTCCGTACCTTCAGGCTCTCATCAGTCCCTACACCCAAACGAGGGCATTGCATTCATCCACCTCTGGCCTGCTGGCCCCCCTACCTCTGCGGAAGCACAGTTCCCGCTCAGCCCAGTCAAAACTGTTCGCTGCTCTGGCACCCCAATGGTGGAACAAGCTCCCTCACGACGCCAGGACAGCGGAGTCACTCACCACCTTCCGGAGACACTTGAAACTCCACCTCTTTAAGGAATACCTGGGATAGGATAAAGTAATCCTTCTACCCCCCCTTACCCCACCCAAAAAAACAACAACATATTGTTAGTGGTTATCCCACTGGCTATAAGGTGAATGGACCAATTTGTAAGTTGCTCTGGATAAGAGCGTCTGCTAAATGACGTAAATGTAAAAATGTATTCTTATAAACCCAGTCATTGCACAATCTTGTGTGAAAACATTGGGGGGGAGCGAACTGATTTGTTTTAGGACAACAGCTAACATCCTGCATTTCAACACGCTTGCCATGGGGCAGAGAGAAAAATCTGCAGTTTTATAATGCTATTCTACACATTTATAGCTAATTTCCTGCAATTCTTCACATTTTGCCATGGGGGAGAGAGAAAAATGTGCTGTTTTATAGCTCACCTCATGCTATTCTTCACATTATGCCATGAGGATGAGAGAGCATTTTGCAGTTTTTTGAACGTCATTTTCTACTACTCTTCACATTTTGCTATAAGGCTGAGAGAAAATGTTGCAGTTTTAAAGCAACAGTCCCATGAAAATCTCACTTTTAAAAGTTCATATTCTGTTAGCTCATACCCAAATAAGGTTGTTGACTCATCCTATACTCGTATTGGTGGCCAAAGCATGAATTTGAGAAAAAACACTTAAAAAACCCCACCTCAAACTTGTATCTCAAACAGACGTTTAAAAAATCTTTGCTATTTCCTCATAGAGGATGATGTCATCCTCCTGAGGAGGATAAACTGGCCAATCAGCGGTCTACTCGCATGAATATTTTTTATGACCATATAGGCCCACACCATTCTGTTGTTGGGGGTACACCCACACCAATCCAACACAGAAAAGCTGCTTTTTAACATACATAATTACAGGAAAACTATTTCACTCATATTGTAATTAATTATAGGTCATATTTCATAGAAATCTGGAAACACTGGACAGTTACTTTAAAGTTAGACTTTTGGCAAAACCGCAAAAATAACGGCTTTAAACTGTATAACTGATCATTGCACCATCATACCAGGTCATTTCATGCTTAAAAAAAACAAAATATGAATGAGATATTTAGCTACAGAAGTGCCATTTCTTACCAATCTCTACAGCTTCCGTCCAAAAACAAATCCTGTGAAATGACCTCAACACATACTGGAGGAATTACAGACTAGCTACAAGTGGCTAATGAACAAGCTACGTCGGTCGCGGAGCGCATGACCAGAATGACAAATCGATGAACCACCAAAAGCATGATGGAAAAGCTGCTTTTTAACATACTTAATTACATTTTATTGTTTGAAATTATACATTTCTATTTGAAAATTCAGAAAGAGGAGGAGTTAGACTGTTTTTTGTGCCCAAAGTCAACCTTAAAAGCTAATTTCCTGCAATTCTACACATTTTGCCATTGCTTATGACATGTTCATATGCTATCTGGGGGGGCCCAACTAAAAAATTAAAAAATGTAAAGGAATTATTGGGGGGGGTTGACAAATCGACCTGTTCTGAATATTGGAGTAGCATCATGCAGCCTTAGAATGTATTAGAAATCAAAACATATAGCTTAAGGTTTGTATTACAACTAAAGTTGCATAAATAACTCTAAATGAAGCATATAGGAGGACCTGTTTCAAATTATCACTTTGTTAACGCGCTCAATGCAGAATAGCCGCATGTGCCCTCTGAAATCATTTGGGGAAAATATATTTATATTTTATTCAGCTATATTCAATTGTATTCTTCTTACTATAAAATAATATAAAATACCGGCTGTATTTCTGCATTTTGAAAGTTATATATCTTGAAAACTTGATTGCTGACATGCAAAACATTTTGGGACTATATCAACAATTGACTAAGGAAACAAATAGCAAAAGATCGTTTTTGGGTGGAGTTTTCCATTAATGCAGCTGTTCCCGTGCCACTGAGATTTTGTTGGGTATAATTGATACAGTCCATCACCACCACTGACTGAATGATTAGCTATGTACATTTAACATTTACATTTTAGTCATTTAGCAGACGCTCTTATCCAGAGCGAGTTACAGTTAGTGAGTGCATACATATTTTTTTTTCATACTGTAGACCTATTAACAATGTTGTTATATAATCAGTTACTTCGGTTATGTACACCAATACTGACCTGTAATGAAATATTTAGCTAGATAAAGACAATATTTGTTATTCTACATTCTGCTATTCTGTACAATAATAACTAATATCTTGAAAAGTTACAACCTGTAACGCCACCTGGTGGTAACCAAACAGAATGTTTACCAATAATTCACTACGACTGGTATCAGTAAACAGGAAGTGTACGTTGAAAATGCTACAACAGAGGAACCTGCGGGTAAACACACTGATATGAAAGCATATGGATTGGTATTGTGTTAACTTAAATTGAGGGATGGTTAGAGTTACTGTAAATGTGTAAATTAGTATTCAGTCATTCAACCGGGTCAATCAGAGGGAGTACGTTTCGACTTTCTAGCTAGCTAGTCCACACTAGCTAGCATTATTTGTCCGTTGTTTCTAAACGCTTAAAAAGTAGCTAATGACCAAATATGCTAGCTAAAGTTTGTGAAAGAATAGCTACAGTAGCTCCTAGTCGTCTAGCCAAAGCAAATCTGCAGAGGTGTTGAGATTTCCCTTCGCTGTGGTTACCAATGGTCACGGTGACGCTTTACTTTAGATAGCTAACTAACGTTAGCTAATTGGATTTGCTCAGATTTAACGCTGCTGCAGTCAGAGAAACATCATGGTAAGTATCGTACACTATCTAAATCAAGATAAGAGTCATTTATCACAAGTCTCCTAATAAATCATTGGTCATTCTGCAAGATCAACCCTCTTAAGATGTAATAGTGCTCAGTGTAGGTTGTTGAGAGCTAGCTAATTCTTCACAACAATATAGCTTCTAGCTAAAGCTTACAGTTTACACCTATTCAAGTGCCAGTCACCCCCATTGACTGCAGTGAAATTAGTTTTAAAACCCTAACCTATGTGTTCCTAATCGATACAGGCTAAACAGAAGAAAGGACAGAAGAGTAAGTCCCTCTGATGTTTTTCTTTACCAATTGAAATCATGCACAATACAACTTGAATGGAGACAAGCTCACAGATTCATTCAATATGATGTTTTTGAACTACAGGTTCAATTGATGATATGTTAGGAGACCTGTTGGGAGATGATGGTATGTGATTACATCCCTACAACAGATTTATGACCATTCAAACGGACAATTCATTAGTATAATATACTGTAAATACACACTGTGTAGTGATGGTAAAGTTTTCCAGTTTGTTTGTACAGATTTCCCAGTGAAGGCCAAAGCTCCGGCCCGTGAAGCTGGCAGACTAGGACCTCCTCTACCATCACGAAGTGGAAAACGGTGAGTTAACTGGGACTGAAAAAATGTACTGCCAGAACAGAGAGTAGTCTCAACTCTTTCTTTGACTTTCTTTCTTGACCATTTAGACAGAGGATACTGTCACAGTCAGCTTGCTAATTCTATGTGTTTCGGTTCTCCAGCTCACTATTGGGCGACGACGACTTCTTCAGCAAACTGGCTGAGGAAGTTGAAAATGATGAGGTGAGTTGGCAGGTCATACATTAAGGATTGCAGGGAGGCAGTTGACTATGCTTTCCTTCATATACATATTTTATCTTCACTTCCAATCCAGGGCTCTGATGTTTCTGAGGCTGATCCCACAGCCTTACTGGAGAGTATGAAGGTAATGAGGCCTTGTTCTAATTACAAATCCCCAGGGAGTAAGACTCCAGGCTTTGTGTGTGAACATTCATAACCCAGCTGTGTCTGTTCTATCCTTACAAAGGACATAGATGATATGGACGCTGATCTCTTTGGATCAAAGAAAAAGCCCAGTTCAGCCCCATCTCAGAGTAAATGCTCCGGCATTGGAGGACCTACGAAAGATCCTCCTAAATCAGGAAACATGTTAAAAGGAGGGGGAATCTCAGATGAGCCAGCCATTGAGGAGAAGAAGCCCAATTCTGCTCCTGCATCCACAGCACGTGGCTACAAGAAGTTCAGCTTCACTGGTGAGCTGACTGTCCTATCTGGTCTCTTTGGCTAGTCTGGCTACACCATGGGTTATCAATGACCCGGGCCACCAAATTAGTATTAATACAATAGAAATATACATAATTGTACATTATTTCTCCCTATTGCTGCATTGCTTCAGATGATGATGATGATGTTCTTGCCCCAACAACTGACACAAAAGGTACCAAAGCTAAGATGGATGTTACAGTTGGACCTGTGTATACACCAAAAAATCAGGTCAACTGTAAAATCCATTAGAGTGGCCCTAAGTGTAGTGAAAATCTGTTACTATTTAAGTAGAGATCTTAACAGACCATAGAGCATATCAATATCAAAACAGTATCCCCAGCTCTGATATCATGTCTGTTGTCTACAGACTTTGATGACCCTTTGGCTGACCTGTTAGATGATCTACCCATAGAAGACAAAAAGGAGCCAAAAATCACCAAAAAGGCCCCAGACTCCCCTATCATAAAGAAAAAAGAAACAGGTTGGTGATCGTTTTTGTGTCTTTTATTTGTGTATTTATACATTGTAACATACCCAAAAGAAGAGATAGCCAGAATGTATCAAATGCATACATTTCTCTTGTAGCCTCACCAGCTCCAGTTCCAAAGAAGCGGGATGACCTTACGTTTGATGATGACGAGGATGACCTAATGGATGCATTGGGGTTTGGAGAGAGTCCCAAACAGAGCCCTAAGAAGACGGAGACAGTGCTTGTACCAAAGAAAGAGAGGTAAGGTCTCAAATGCCTCAGTCAACATCACAAGTTCCAACCATGGCTATCACAAAACCTATGGACTATGATAAACCCAACAAAAAGTTCATTTGAAATGCACCCTCCCTGTTCCTCTGCCCTGACTGTCTACCAGCGGTGAGCTCCCTCAGAGAGCCCGCACCAGGCTAGATGAGATTCTGGGGCGCGGGACGTCCCCTCGCCTTCTGGAGCGCCCTCCAACAGGGGAGAGGAAGGACCCTCCGCAGCAGCAGGAAAAGCAGCAGCAGCAGCAACAACATCAGAAGACCCGCACTACTAAAGGTAGCTAACACCCAATACTTAAAGTGTGATGTGGTATACAGGCTAAACAGAAGAAAGGACAGAAGAGTTTATGTTTCCCTTTGTCAGACCCCTTCCTAGAAGAAGACCTGACGTTTGGTTCCTATCAGCCCACACTGGTCACTACACCTGAGGGACGTCACTCATGCAGACAGTTGGTCAGGTAAGTCAGAGCTCAGCAGGAGCCCTCCTCATAGTTTGGTTTGGTCAAAGCCTGGATCAATAAAAAAAAGTCCATCATATTTGGAGATAATCTGAGTTCCTGAAGCTTATCTATGTAGGCTACTGGACCAGAGTGTATGACAAAGGAAATGGCCGCCATCTAAGATTAGCCACTCGTTTTCAGATTCTCCACTGAGGACATCAGTGCCTCTTCTCCTGAGAAGAAACCCAAACCCATCACCCCCACCACTACCTTTCCCCCGGCCTGCTGCAGACTGGCTGGGGCTCTCGCAGGATGATGAGGAGGAGGAGGAGGAGGAAGAGAAGGAAAAGCCACCGCCTGTACCAGAACCCTTGAAGACCCCCTCCTCTTTGTCAGTGGGAAGTAAACCCTCCTCATCTGGCAACCGCATTCCACAGCCATCGACAGAGACCCCAAACACCTCTTCCAAACCCCCCAAGCCAGTAGGACCCATTGCAGAGGTCTCTGCCAGCCAAAAGGATGAAGATGATTGGCTATCAGGGGCATTGAGCAGGAAGAAGACTCAATCATCCACACGGTCAGAGGAAAAGAAGACAACCCAGGAAGACTTTCTGGGGCTTGGAGATGAGGTGGATCTGGAGTCGTTTCTCAGGTAAGGCTAGGACTAGTGTACTCTACAGGGCAGGCAGGGTCATACCAACACAGTTCTAAAGAAACACCTACATTAGAAGCGACTGCTTACATCTCAGTATGTTGACATTGATTGTCTGTTACTTCCTCAGTAAACGTGGTTCTTCACCAGCTTCCAGGAGGAAAGATGCATCTACCCCCAACACGGAACCAGGGTATGATCAACCTTCATCTAAATAGCTGTGATGTATAATATTACCACTGCAATATTGCCCCAGTGAGCCATATGAGTTGTGGTGCTTTTGGACATTGAAGTCAGGATTGTATTCCTTCTCAAGAGATTATCCTCTGCCCAGGGAGCCCAGCCCTACTGCTCATTCTACCCCATTGAGAGAGGACCAGTCCAGGCCTGGTATGTTACACTCACTCCTATCTTAGAGGACCCAACTAACCATGTCCCTTTCCCTCTACGTTGTGCTATTCAACTTCTAACTCAGAGGAGGCATCTTTTATAACAACCATGTTTTGTTTTTCCAAGCCAAGTCCCTTTCTAGTCATTTGGCTGACCCAGAGCCTACTAGAATGTCTACCCCTATCCCAACTGACCCTCCTGACCAGACACAGGAAACCAATCACATATTCACCGGTGACCCAGATGAGCCAATAAGGGCAAAGAGTCATGCCCCCCGACCAGCTCATTCCACTGCTGAAGAAACTGAGCCTATCAGGCAGAATTCACACATAGACCACACCACTCACTCACCAACACCTGAGACCCGTACTGAGCGTGTCTCACATCCACAACCCACAGTCCTGTCAAAGGCACGCATCAGCTCTCCCCTCCCCACAGATACCAGTCGAGCAGTCCAGTCATCTCCTCCACAATCACCCACAATAGTCATCCAACATCCACCCACCAAACCTCAGCCTTTCCCTTCCTCTCAACCAGTCTCCACCTTTCCATCCACAGCTGTGTCTGCTAGAGAAGGCTTCTCTCCTGACCAGACCCCAGACCCCTCTCCCCTGCCAACCTCTGCTACTGCTAGCATTAGCTTCCCCCTGCCCCAGCAATACCACCCACCAGCCCTGCAGGATCACAGGGGGCCAGGATGGCCAAGTCCAGCAGAGCTGCCCCCTAACTACCCTGTGCAGCAATGGCAGTCTATGTCTGGCCCCATGCCCTATGCTGTGATGCCTGGCTCTATGCGGTGTAGGTACTCTTAGGGAAACATAGGGATAGCTTGTGGACATTGTAGTCATTTTGAATAATTTTCTAACTGTATTAGTATTTCTGATAGTTTCTTATGAATCACTGCAATTGACGATGGGCAGATTGTCCAGATTGACACATAATGTTCTTGGTTTCCCAGTGCCACAGCAAAGCCAGATGCAGAACACTGCACCTGCTGTCCAACCACAGGTATGTAGAGGCCTTTCTATTTTTCGTTTATATACCCTAATGTCATTATGGATGATTTATGTTTGGAAACCAGAAGTCACCTTTTTAATTGTTTAACTCTTCTTCTTTTAAACAGGTGTCTCTTTCAGCTGACAGTTTTGCAACAACTTTTACTACAACAGCAGCAGGTAAAACAAATCTCTAATCACAATTACTTTTTCATTTGATGGAAACACTTCGCATTTCATTAGTTTTACTAATGTGAACACAGATACCTCCAGGTTTTATCAGATGTTCTCTTTTGTGAGTCTTGGGTAACTTGACTTTGGTATCCGTCTCTGTCCGTAGTTGGTGCAGTCCCAGCTGCTGGGGTTAGGGGGAGCTGTGGATGTAGTTGGGCTGCAAAGACAGAAGAGCGACTGAGAAGCAGAATGGAGATCTAGCTTTACAGGCACGCATCATCAAACTGGAGGGACAGGTATTTATCAGCTGTCTTTTTGACAGTGCTCTTCCTCTTTCTGCCACTTTCATAAACAACATTCAGCTCTGACTACTGCATCTTCTCTTCTAGGTGAGATCTCTACAGCTGGAGCTAAACCAGAACCAGATGTTGCTGGAGAGTGTTCAGCAGAGACACAAGCAGGACACTGAGCTCATGGAGAACACACAGGTATGACAGGAGCTCTGAGACCTATAGAGGTCCTGCCACCACCACACAGACTGAATCACTACCTCTTTACCCAAAAGTGTGTTGCATCCACCAGGGCTCGTGTGAAGCTGCTTGAGGATTTTGCGGCACAGCGAGAAGCACGGGCACGACAGGAATGCGAGGACCTAGCGGAGCGCCTGGCCACCGTCACGCGTATAGCTGAACAGGAGCGTACAGAGCTGCAGGCACAGCACCAGCGCAGACTGGCCCAAACCCAGCAGGACAGAGACCGAGAGGTGGAGAGACTCAGGGACCTACAGAGGTAGGGGGCTACAAGATACCACATTAGAGAACATGAGATTGTGGCCATTCCTGTATTTTCTCCCTAAAGCCCAGCTATTTTCACTGCTTGTGGATAACAACATTTATGTTATCTTTATATTTCCATAATGTTCCTTAATTTTTCCTTGCTTTGTCACTGTTTCCTTCCTCTAGGAAGTCTATTTTGGAGATGAAGAAAGACCATGAGGATCAGGTCCAGAGGATGAGGAGATTGATGCTGTGACCAGTGCCACATCACAAACCAGGTCACACATGCGTTTCTACGCAATACTCATTTTTAACCATACTCTGCTAAATCTCCAACCTTTGCATAAGAATTATACAGATGACATGCTACATGTAACCAAACTCGGAACTTAACTATAAGTTGACATCATATAGCCTCTCATTCTGTGTATTGGTGTTGTAGGTCCCTGACAGTGGTGATTGAGCAGATGGAGCATTTCTCCCACAGGCTGGGGGACCTTTCGTCTCGGGTGGAGAGCACCCATAACAACACAGCCCAGGGGCTGGAGCAGGGGGCACGGCAGAGAGACCAACAGCTCTGAGGTATCATACCACTACTCAGTTTTATGAAAAGAAAACAATGATTTTCATAATAAAGTAGTTTCTATTTATTTTCCATTCAGTCAGTGAGAATGTCCTGATGTTATGTGAAAGTCAGCTTGTCTACTTGTCTCAGTGATGCAGGACCGTCTGGGCCAGCAGCAGAGGGCCATGGCAGAGGAGAGAACAAGGCTCAAAGAAGTCATTGCCAAGATGGACACCCAGCTGGCTGAGCATCAGAGGCAACTAGAGAAGGTCAGGAGTTACTAAGAGGCTTTGACTGTGCTTTTATGACAGGTCGTCATTGTAAATACGATTTTTCTTAGTTGACTTTCCTGTATAAATAAAGGTCAAATAAAAATTATGCCATGTCACTCTGGAACAAAATGAATGGGATCGTAATGGAAAACTTGCCTTGAGTGACTTCAATGGAGGTCTTGTGTCAACACAGGGCTCCAGACTTACATTTTCCCCTGGTGGCACTGCTGCCACTAATGTTTTCTGTTGGTGGCACCAGCCCATGATTTAGTGGCACCCCCCAAAAAAAATTGGCGGTGTCACAGAGGTCATTTGAGTCATCTTATAAAATCATTCACAATGCTTTAAGTGTAATAGACTACTGAGATTTGTTCAATAAATAAGTTGTTACATCTAACATGTCCAAGCAATATATTTTCATGCAACCTAGTCCACAAGTACACTATTTTTGTTTGATTTTACTCTCGATCTCCAGAAATGTCTGTGTGATTTGTTCAATAGAGATGAATTTGTCTCCATCTTTGTGCGAAATATGATATAGGCCTAATTCAATTGGTGCTAATTCACCACCTGAGGAAGTGGAAACTCAACACATTAGCTAGATCGCTAGTAAATGTAATGTCCTAAAAAAAAATTTGCAATGAGGCCTAGTGCACTAGCGATGGCCGATGCGCAATTTCGCACACACTTATTGAGCTGTGCAATTTCGCACAGCTCAATAATCATTAAGAATTATACCTACAGAAAGTGGAGACCCTCCTCCATTTTTATATGGACAACTAGCTTGCTTCCAAAGTTATTTTCCCCGCAACTGCATTTTGAAATGTTATACAATCCCGAGGGGCACACAAGGGGGAGAGTGAGTGAGAGGCTCGCTCAGTACAGCAGCCGGCCCCACCGAAACAGGCAGGCAGTGCAGACACTTATTACAGGAATCATGAGGATAATGCACTTTACTGTTTAACAAATTCATGGCTTTATCCGCCCCAAAAATAGAACGTTTTGATTGAGGTGACCAGGTAGAAGGTGCAGCTCGCACCAGTGCCACCAATAAAAAATTTACCAAGTCAAAGGGTCGCAAAATGCAACTAAATGGTCACATTCTGGAGCCCTGCAACATTTTATTCACAAAGATAGGTTTGTTCTTGCATAAACGTTTCGCTTTTCCTTCCATTTCCCCAGAATGTTGAATATGATGATTGTGTGTTGTAGGAGCGCTGGAGGGTGAATGCGGAGCAGGCTAAGGCTGACTCATCTCAGAGAGGCCTGGACGAGGAGAGATGCTCTCTGACTCAGCACATCAACATGGAGAGAGGGGAGCTGGAGAGGGCAAAGGTAAGACCGAGAGATACACTGAGGGAGAAATTGTAAAATATGTCTGCCAGATCTCTCCTTAACATGTATAACTTAGATTAGAAGACCCCCATCTATCCCTCACTACTCCCCCTCTCTCCATGTATAGAGTGCCCTGTTGGAGGAGCAGCACCTCCATCAGGTCAATAAGTGGATGGTATACCAGCCACTCATACTAGACAATCTCAGAACTGAAGGCCATCTGATATAGGTGTACCAGCAGAGGAGCTATAGGACAGGCACATTATGGTTGGAATGGTAACATTGATGCTGTTCCGTTTATTCCATTCTAGCCATTAATGAGCCTGTCCTATAGCTTCTCCAAAGTGTACAAATCATATGTAACCTATCCATCCTGCACCAGGCTCATTAAAATGTCCCCTTCTACAGGAGAGAATGAAGATGACAGAGCAGCGTAAAGTTGACTGAAGCACAGCCTTCCAATCACTCCTTTTCCACAATCTATGGCCCCCATATTCACAGGTGGGCTGAGCCCTTAAAACAAATATTTTTCCTTGCGTTAACACTCAGAACAGTATCTTTTACAATATTTTAATACTGCAGTTATCATTTTACTGTAGCAGACTTCAGCCCGGTGTTGTTGTAGTACCTCAGATTGCCTCACCCCTGTTCTCCGGTCCTGGTTCTACGGAGCTCCAGGCCAGATTGGCACTGCCCAGGCACACAGCAGAGAAGGTAACTGATGCATTACTAACCAAATTGAGTGTGCTTACAATCAGTTTAAAGTTGTGAACAGTTAGTGAGTCATTTTCAGAGGGCCAAAGCATTTTACAACAAAACACTCTGGTCTGAAAGTTACCCTTGATGTGCTAGTAAAGATGGAACAAGCAGATTAGTTTCAAAATCTTTATTGTAGGTAGAAATGTACTTGCTTTATCCTCTTAGGATCGTGACTTTCTGCAGGACGAGCAGTTCTTCTTGGACACACTCAAGAAAGCACCTTACAATTCAGCCTTTCACACAGATTAACTGTGCAGGGGTTTAGAGCCCCATGACATCCTGGTTTTAAGTACTTTAACGTGCCATTAAACTTGACATTTTCTAATATGTTTGCATTGAACTTGTTTATTTTAGTCAGTCACTGATCATTCATTTGGTGAATTTCAGTTCTTGAGTCCTGTTCCTGGCACCACTTCTTTCACCCTATGACCTAAAATGAAACACATCTAGTAAGCCAAGGAAGAGTTCCAGCAGTCAACTGTTATCTTATAAAACCAGAAATGGAGTACATATGGATCTCCCATAAAGCCTCAGGGGTTTCAATAAGTCAACACTGCTGTTCAGACAGGGATAACGTGTTTCATCACAGGCTTGTTACCCTCTTCACATCTGCACCTCTATTACTCAAACCATCAGCCATAAGACTAATTCAGTTCATGTCCAAAGTAGTACTTACCGGATCTCATTCCATTGGAGTTACTTGCTGTATTTTCAGGGGTTCAAATCCAGGTTTGTAGACCTGTAGAGAAATTACCATGTTAATTTGGTTCAATGCTACAATTGCCAAAAGCATGGCGACATTCAGGGCTGTGGATTTCTCAGAGCAGCTTTATCCAGCGTCAGTTATCGCATCAGACGGCACTTCCTATGCAGCAATTTCATCACTGAAACCACAGGCACCATTATGTCCAGTGTAAAGTAAACCCAAAACATAGATGAGCACTTACCAATCAACTGTCCCCTTGACCCTCTGGCACTATAAAAAAATAGAAATACTAATACATGTTCATCATGACAATACTTTAATCATTATCCCACAATATGAATCTCCCATCAAGTCTCAGGGGTTTCAATAGGTCAACACTGTTCTTCTGACAGGGATAACATGTTTCATCACAGACTTGTTACTTACACCCTCCACAGCTTAACTACCATTACTCATCAGCAATCTGACCAACACTTAATGTCCAAAGTAGTGGTTACCTGCTCTCATGGGAGTAACTTCATTGGAACATTTTCATGGCATCACACCCAGGTTGGCAGACCTATAAAGAAATGACCATCATTACCACAATTGCCAAAAGCATGGCGACATTCAGGGCTGTGGATTTGTCAGAGCAGCTTTATCCAGCGTCAGTTATCGCATCAGACAGCACTTCCTATGCAGCAATTTCATCACTGAAACTACAGGCACCATTATGTCTATAGTGCATAGTAAAACTAAAGAATGTCTCCAGTCTACTGGATCAATTCAATGATATTTGAGTCACAAGAGACCATAGATGTTCTAGCTAAGTACTTACCAATCAACTGTCCCTTCACCCTCCGAGGCCACAGCACTATAAGAATCAATGTTATCAATATTAGTCCATTACTGCATGACTTCAATTGATCATGATCTTGCTATGCAACATAGCTACATTTAACTTTGAGAAACTATTCCACACAATACATGATTCACTCACTCAACTGATCCAAACTAAGCATTACTTCCAAAACGTACCCATTCAATTAATATGAATCTCCCATCAAGCCTCAGGGGTTTCAGTAAGTCAACACTTGTTCAGACAGGGATAACTTGTTTCATCACAGGCTTGTTAATTAAGCTAGGTACATCCTTCACAGCTGTTCAAACCATCTGACCATCATCAAACTGCCCAATTTAAAGCTGGTCAAACGTGATTATGGAGATTGTTTTACCTCTTGAGTGGACCCAGGCCATAGGACTTCTGACGTCAGTCCACATCAGTTAAGATGGGAGTCCGTTCAAATGGCTCTGAAAGGTACAGACAAAGATCAGACGGATACATTGTGGCCACGTTTCCCCACCTCAGGCGACCTGCACAACACTGATTACTAAACAAAATGCCTCCAACACTAAAACCCGTTAAGTGATAAAATCAGATATCGTATGTTCTAACCTGAGCTACAGAAACACCAGGGTTCTACAATGTTTTTTAAACAGGCAAGGCCTAGACTTTTAGTTAGAAAGTTAGCTTGTCATGTGGCTAGCAGTTAGCGAACTAGCTACTTCTGCACGTGGCTAACAGTCAGTGGTTACTTACAATTTACATTCATGGTGGCTGGTCGACATTTGAGTTCGTAGTGTTTTGGAGCATTATGCTATGATGAGTTGAGGCAGATAGTTACCCCCCCCCCAAAAAAAAATCAAACCGCCAGACACTCTCCGCACTCGATATGTTCAGTGTGTGAAAGACTAAATTTGTGTTTAAGGTATGTATTTATACGTTTCAATACGTCATACCCCCCATGTGACCAAATTTGGACCAGTAGGGAGAGGGTTTTGCATTTTCCAGAGCAGACCTCAAGTGGCGCACTTATCCGGAGGGCTACACATTCAGCCATTGGCAGTGTTGCCAACTTAGCGACGTTGTCGCTATATTTAGCGAGTATTCAGACACCTCTAGCGACACATTTTTTTAAAAGCGACTAGCGACAAATCTAGCGACTTTTTCTGGTGTTATTGGAGACTCTGACGTAAAAGCACGTATCGTTCTTACTCTTCTCAACGAGCAGCGGGTGCTTTGTTACCCCGACCCAAAGCACTCACAGGCGGCCCAGTCCTCGCGCAGCAGTCCCTCCCATCTGCAATCAGAGCAGGAGATGTTCACCCCTCCGCGTCCAGACTGCAAATTAATCGCGCATGCGGGAAGCCGCCGCTGGCTGATCCCGCCCTGGCTTAAATTCATTTTTATTTTTTTATTTTTTTATTCAGGGATGTAAATGTAAAACATTAAAAAAAAACAAGAATCGACAGAAGAAAGTTCATTTGTAGTTCTAAACATATTTAGGCTGTTTTTTACTCACTTTTTCTCTCTCCTACAGTGTCCATCACAATCACATGCATATGGCCAATTATGCAAATTAGGTGATGGCGTCATTTAGCGACTTTTAGGACAGCCAATAGCTACTTTCCTGACTGCGGAGTTGGCAACACTGGATTGGGTTGGATGACTTAATTTCTTAATCAGTGATTGCAATTTGTCTCACTGAATGCACCTATTAATACATATTTGGGGTTTCATTTACATATTTTTCTTCTTTCTTTGCCCTCTGCAGCAAGCCAGTGTCCCTTGGTGCACATGTATGCACGTGTGGCACACTGGGGGGCATGAACTCCAGGACATAGCAGGCATATATCCGACTTTGTGAAATAATAATGGAAATACACTACCAGTCAAAAGTTTGGACACACCTACTCATTCAAGGGTTTTGCTTTATTTGTACTATTTTTTACATTGTAGAATAATAGTGAAGACATCAAAACTATGAAATAACACATATGGAATCATGTAGTAACCAAAAAAGTGTTAAACAAATCAAAATATATTTTATATTTGAGATTCTTCAAAAATCCACCCTTTGCCTTGATGACAGCTTTGCACACTCTTGGCATTCTCTCAACCAGCTTCATGAGGTAGTCACCTGGAATGCATTTCAATTAACAGGTGTGTATTCTTAAAAGTTAATTTGTGGAATTTCTTTCCTTCTTAATGCGTTTCAGCCAATCAGTTGTGTTGTGACAAGGTAGGGGGGTATACAGAAGATAGCCCTATTCGGTAAAAGACCAAGTCCATATTATGGCAAGAACAGCTCAAATAAGCAGAGAGAAACAATAGTCCATCATTACTTTAAGACATGAAGGTCAGTCAATACGGAACATTTCAAGAACTTTGAAAGTTTCTTCAAGTGCAGTTGCAAAAACCATCAAGCGCTATGATGAAACTGGCTCTCATGAGGACCGCCACAGGAATGGAAGACCCAGAGTTACCTCTGCTGCAGAGGATAAGTTCATTAGAGTTACCAGCCTCAGAAATTGCAGCCCAAATAAATGCTTCACAGAGTTCAAGTCACAGACACATCTCAACATCAACTGTTCAGAGGGGACTGTGTGAATCAGGCCTTCATGGTTGAATTGCTGCAAAGAAACCACTACTAAAGGACACCAATAAGAAAAAGAGACCTGCTTGGACCAAGAAACACGAGCAATGGACATTAGACTGGTGGAAATGTGTCCTTTGGTCTGGAGTCCAAATTGGAGATTTCTGGTTCCAACCGCCGTGTCTTTGTGAGACGTGGTGTGGGTGAACGGATGATCTCCGCATGTGTAGTTCCCACTGTAAAGCATGGAGGAGGAGGTGTTATGGTGTGGCGGTGCTTTGCTGGTGACACTGTCTGTGATTTATTTAGAATTCAAGGTACACTTAACCAGCATGGCTACCACAGCATTCTGCAGCGATACGCCATCCCATCTGGTTTGGGCTTAGTGGGACTATCATTTGTTTTTCAACAGGACAATGACCCAACACACCTCCAGGCTGTGTAAGGGCTATTTGGCCAAGAAGGAGAGTGATGGAGTGCTGCATCAGTTGACCTGGCCTCCACAATCCCCCGACCTCAACCCAATTGAGATGGTTTGGGATAAGTCGGACCGCAGAGTGAAGGAAAAGCAGCCAACAAGCGCTCAGCATATGTGGGAACTCCTTCAAGACTGTTGGAAAAGCATTCCAGGTGAAGCTGGTTGAGAGAATGCAATGAGTGTGCAAAGCTGTCATCAAGGCAGAGGGTGGCTATTTGAAGAATCTCAAATATAAAATATATTTTGATTTGTTTAACACTTTTTTGGTTACTACATGATTCTATATGTGTTCTTTCATTGTTTTGATGTATTCACTATTATTATCCAATGTAGAAAATAGTAAAAATAAAGAAAAACCCTTGAATGAGTAGGTGTGTATAAACTTTTGACTGGTACTGATACACCGGTAGTCTAGACATAAATGATTAATTTGAACAGCATTGTGAGATATTCTGACCATATAGCCTACAAATAGACAAATGAGAGCCTTGGTTTAAAAATACCTAATTGCATTTGGTGAGGCTATAAGAGAGTAATTAATCTAAAGCATTGCATCTCGTCTTTCCTAATAATATTCTAACATCAATAGATCGCATTATTTGCTAGTGGTAAAATAGGGCCTTGAAGTAGCCTAGCCTATTCATTATCCATGAGGTAAATAGCAAAGTGGTAAATAAGCCTAACTGATAAACAATGTAACCAGTAGCCTGAAGCAAAATGGGTTATGGTAATATTTGCTCAAGATGCAAAACATTTATTATATTCAATGAGAAGGGGTGGATTCCTGACATGAGGCATCCTTGTCCAACTTTGATTTCTCAGTGTGTGTGATTCCCCTTTCAGTCTCTAGGAAGAGATCTTTCAACAAGGAAAACAGCTGGTTGACTCCGGGTCCAACAGCAGTCAAACGGGCTGGGGTAGCCAGTCGCAGTCTTCCTCATCAACCACACACGGGTCTGCGGATCACATTGTCCACGGGATGGATAAAGACATCGCCGAACCGGACCCATCTCGTCAGCGCAACGGTGTCGTGGAAGGGCTTTATGGAGAATTCACGGACTCGCTCAACGCAAAGGTCAGATATTCTGTGAGTTTGACGGAGAGTTCTCTCGCTATTCAAAATATATCATCGTCACCTGGACAGGATAAGGTGGTTTTCAACTTAACTGACTGTCTTGGCTGCCGGGCTTATAAAGTGGAGGACGAAGCAGACGTTGGGGCGTTCTTTACAGCCTATTTCTACCCGTTCAAGAGACGATGGATGAGCACAGGCATGGCCCGGCAGAAAGTAGAGCAGTGCTTTCGGGTCGCACTGGTCCAGGACCCTCTCACTAATCTTCAAGAGGCAGAGAGATGGGCGCGTGCCATCAGAGAGGCTTCTATCCGCCAGATACGCCGACGACATGGTGAGAAGCAAGGCTTCATAGTTGAAATAAAACAGTTGTTTCTTTCTGGTATAGCTATGTTTGATGAGGGCGTAGGTTCTCATTTAATTTAGTCAAACAGCATCAGACTTAAGGCTATGTATATGGATAGCCTGAAAAGACTGTCATTATTGCCATATACTGTGGGTATATATGTTTCCTCATTTATTTAGGATGCATTTTATACTCTGCCCAGGGAAATCAGGCTTATAAGTTCAGTTCAAAATGTGAGGGTAACTTTCCATCACCTTTATCCCATACTGCACCTAAGGTCCAGTAATTCACAACCTGCTTACTCAGTTTCTATAGAATAGGAGAGGCTTACGTGACAACTGACTGTCCTGAGACTGGGCAAGCTTGGAGAAGGAAATTGAATGTTCTGGAAATGGAATGTCATTCCTCTCTCACACCCAATAACTAGCTTTACCTGCTGTGGGAGGATGACTGCCACTTACCTTTCATTTGCATAGATTTGCAACTGTGATATTTCTGTATAATTTGTTAGGGGTAATTTAGTCATCCCACAAGCAACATTACTGAACCCAAGTACTCAAGTAATTGAACTCATCGTTTTTCATCTAATGGTGCTTATGCCCAATGTCTTGGATCAGGAAAACTCTTATTACAACACAACCGTATTCAAATGCCTGCTTTTGAAATCTCCAGTCCATGTCATAGACCTAGGTCCATGTGCAGCGACCTAACTGACCCTACTGAATCAGTTCTGAACATGAAGCAGAGTGCTGCTGATGCTAATTATCCAGTTATCACTCACTGAGGAGGAGATCATTTGTTGTGGATGAAGCTGCCACAGGGAGAGCCATATGCAAAATATTATAATGACATTCTGTCAGAATATCACACATTATTTTGAATTGAGTTAATCCAAGTTATTGCTACAAGATTAAATGTTGAGCATTAGTGTGCGCTTTGTTAAATTGCTTTATTAGATTGGTTTATTCGGATCCCCATTCGCGTTTGCCAAAGCAGCAGCTATTCTTCCTGGGGTCCACACAAAAACATAGAACACGACAAGTAACAAAACACTGATACACTGATAGACAATAACAGTCACACAAATAAGATAGGAGTGCATGTGCCATTGGCCTAAATAGGCAGAATGAAAGGGAATTTCCATCTGAACAAAAAGGAGAGCAGTCGAGGATATAGTCAATCATAAATTAATTTGGCTTAATACAAGTTGCAACAAGGAGACACCCTCTAGCATAGAAACATAGAAAACGTCTAACGGGCCTTCTCTGAGAAGGCACTTACAGTGGGGAAAAAAAGTATTTAGTCAGCCACCAATTGTGCAAGTTCTCCCACTTAAAAAGATGAGAGAGGCCTGTAATTTTCATCATAGGTACACGTCAACTATGACAGACAAAATGAGAAAGAAAAATCCAGAAAATCACATTGTAGGATTTTTAATGAATTTATTTGCTAATTATGGTGGAAAATAAGTATTTGGTCAATAACAAAAGTTTCTCAATACTTTGTTATATACCCTTTATTGGCAATGACACAGGTCAAATGTTTTCTGTAAGTCTTCACAAGGTTTTCACACACTGTTTCTGGTATTTTGGCCCATTCCTCCATGCAGATCTCCTCTAGAGCAGTGATGTTTTGGGGCTGTCGCTGGGCAACACAGACTTTCAACTCCCTCCAAAGATTTTCTATGGGGTTGAGATCTGGAGACTGGCTAGGCCACTCCAGGACCTTGAAATGCTTCTTACGAAGCCACTCCTTCGTTGCCCGGGCGGTGTGTTTGGGATCATTGTCATGCTGAAAGACCCAGCCACATTTCATCTTCAATGCCCTTGCTGATGGAAGGAGGTTTTCACTCAAAATCTCACGATACATGGCCCCATTCATTCTTTCCTTTACACGGATCAGTCGTCCTGGTCCCTTTGCAGAAAAACAGCCCCAAAGCATGATGTTTCCACCCCCATGCTTCACAGAAGGTATGGTGTTCTTTGGATGCAACTCAGCATTCTTTGTCCTCCAAACACGACGAGTTGAGTTTTTACCAAAAGGTTCTACTTTGGTTTCATCTGACCATATGACATTCTCCCAATCCTCTTCTGGATCATCCAAATGCACTCTAGCAAACTTCAGACGGGCCTGGACATGTACTGGCTTAAGCAGGGGGACACGTCTTGCACTGCAGGATTTGAGTCCCTGGCGGCGTAGTGTGTTACTGATTGTAGGCTTTGTTACTTTGGTCCCAGCTCTCTGCAGGTCATTCACTAGGTCCCCCCGTGTGGTTCTGGGATTTTTGCTCACCGTTCTTGTGATCATTTTGACCCGACAGGGTGAGATCTTGCGTGGAGCCCCAGATCGAGGGAGATTATCAGTGGTCTTGTATGTCTTCCATTTCCTAATAATTGCTCCCACAGTTGATTTCTTCAAACCAAGCTGCTTACCTATTGCAGATTCAGTCTTCCCAGCCTGGTGCAGGTCTACAATTTTGTTTCTGGTGTCCTTTGACAGCTCTTTGGTCTTGGCCATAGTGGAGTTTGGAGTGTGACTGTTTGAGGTTGTGGACAGGTGTCTTTTATGCTGATAACAAGTTCAAACAGGTGCCATTAATACAGGTAACGAGTGGAGGACAGAGGAGCCTCTTAAAGAAGAAGTTACATGTCTGTGAGAGCCAGAAATCTTGCTTGTTTGTAGGTGACCAAAGACTTATTTTCCACCATAATTTGCAAATAAATTCATTAAAAATCCTACAATGTGATTTTCTGGATTTTTTTTCCTCAATTTGTCAGTCATAGTTGACGTGTACCTATGATGAAAATTACAGGCCTCTCTCATCTTTTTAAGTGGGAGAACTTGCACAATTGGTGGCTGACTAAATACTTTTTTTCCCCACTGTATATATTAACCAGACATTACCAAATGTTCTCTAAATATCAGCCCGAGAGCCTTGTCTGAAGTCAAAACAAAAGACAGTGACTTTGCCAGTTGCTACAGAATCACACAGTGTTCATAATGTCATTGTGTCCTTAGTCCTTGTGCCTTCAGTAGCTCTGGCATCAATCACTATAAAATGATATGAGAACAATCCATAACATTCAGTGACAAGTCTAGTGACCATCAATCCGTACACAAATGAGTGTCATAAATAGAACACTGGAAATCGTGTATTACAGAACGGGGAAACATATACATATGCTAAGCATTGTGTTAATTACTCTTAACTGAATATCAACTTTATTCATCTTAAATATTCCCCATTACACAGAGTGAAGATAAGTGTCCATAAAACAGGGGTGCCTGCCTATTATCAGCTTAGGGGCATAGCAACATAGTTCTAGAGGAAACAGATATTTGATTTGGCAGTGACAGATTTTGAATGTTGGTTGCCAGAGATGGAGTCAGGTGTTGGTGGAATAAGGAATGAGGTCGCCCCGTGAATTGCCCTTTAGGTGTCCAAGGCAACTGAGACTAGAGTCTTTGTGTGAGTTGCACCTTAGGCCTGGAGCCAGCAGGAGTTGGAGTTTCAGAGCTTTGCCAAGCAGACAGATGGTAACCTGACCTGAGAGGTAGCTGGTAGCATTCTTTCTGGCCTGCTGGACTTCAAAAGCCAGCAAAGACATTTTTCAAATGTCAATTCGCACATATTAATGAAGTGTCTATCAATAGCCACTGATGATAAGCCATTGAAATGCTAACAATTGATGAACTGTGGCATGACTCAGGATTCCTGCTCTTGTACAAGAAGGCTTCTGCATCTGTAGTAGAGTGACTACTGCATAATGCAATGATATCATTAATTGATAAGGTTTTTTTAGCATTCAAGATCCAGGCCAGACAATAATACAGTATTCAACAGAATATATTATGTACTTTAAATGAGTAATGGGAAGCAGCAAAATATGTTACATTAATTCCTTGTTCTAGAGCAGGGGTGTCAAACTCATTCATTTTAGCAGACACTCTTATCCAGAGCGACAATTAGGGTTAAGTGCCTTGCTTAAGGGCACATCGACAGATTTTTCACCTAGTTGGCTCGGGGATTAGAACCAGCGACCTTTCAGTTACTGGCACAACGCTCTTACCCACTAAGCTACCTGCTGCCCCTTGGAGTGTCTGCAGGTTTTTGTTTTTCCTTTCAATTAAGCCCTAGACAACCAGGTGAGGGGAGTGCTTTACTAATTAGTGACCTTAATTCATCAAACAAGTACAAGGGAGGAGCGAAAACCCACAGACACTCTGCCCTCCGTGGAATGAGTTTGACATGTGTTCTAGAGCAGGATTTCTCAAAGCTTGATGATAAGTTGGTTAGTGCTAGGGTAAAGGGGGGGGGCAGTTTGGGAATCCCTGTTCAGAGGGACCGACTAATCCCTGAAAGTGATATTTATGTTAATTCATTTCATTTTATCTGGTGATGCAGCTGGATCGGTCGTATTAAGAAGGCAATTTCTTTTTTGCTGTAAGGTTTATGTTTAGGGAAAGCTATCACACACTTTCAGTGCATAATACCACATAATTTTGTTGAAACTGTAGATGCTAAATATTCATTTTACAGTTGTTTTATTGTTGTTCAGTCACAGCTTGACTGTGTAATGACTGCACAGTGTGTGTTTAAGTATCTGCAGTCTACCATTCAGTTCCTGTCACAGCCAGGTCATAACCGACTGAATGAGGCGTTAATAATGAAATCCTCATACAAGGACATGGAAGGTAATATCCTGCTATTTGCAATGCTTAGAGGTACCATAAAAATAATGTCTGCATTTTTGTAAGGAAATTCAGTCTGTCTTGACTTTCAGGATGTTAAAAAGTTTTCAGTGTAAACTTAAACGACTTAAAGTATGTAGAAAAGATAATGGAGCTATATATTATTAAATAGGATCATCTTTGAGAACTAAAAAATAAATAAGTAGACAGTCAGGTAGAATCTAAAATTCCAAAAATGTCATGGCCCCAATTGATTCTGTTATAATGTTTGAGTTACTCAGATAGCATAAGAACAAGGCATAAGCCATTGCAAAATGTGTAGAATTGCAGGAAATTAGCTCTAAAACTGTAAAATGTTCTCTCCGCCCAATGGCAAAATGTGTATAATTGCAGGAAATTAGCTTTAAAACTTCAACATTTTGTCTCTCTGTGTGTGTTCCACAGAGAGGGTATGTATCTGTCACTGTGATATCTCCCTAGGCCCAATGCTCTGCTGACGCCACAGTGTCTCTCAGTGATGGAGACAAGAGCTGAACGGTGCCCCAGCTACATCAGTGGCCTCTCACCCCAGCCAGGCTGGTCCCCCGGGGCCCTCATCTCCCACTCTGCTCCCTCAGACAGGCCTGCCTGTGACAGGCTGTCAGGGCCCCTGGCTCTACCTCTGTGGGCTGGGTGTCTAACCCCCCACCCTGATCTTGGACTTAAGCTTGTTTGCAGATATGCCAGCTATGTCTGAGTCATGGAGGTAGTGTTACACCTTGGGGACACCTGAGACAGCAAGATTTCACTAAAATACATTTTCATAAACATTGTTTTTTGTTTTCCTCAGTGTTCTGGCTAGTTTTCACTTATAGTGATGTGTCATAGCAATAATGATATAAGGTGTGGACATAATGAGAGAGATTATGTTCTAAATTCAGGTGTTTGGTGATACTATATTGATTGATTGTACACAACACATTTGATGAGTTAATCAGTTCAGTTCATTTGATCCCAGCCTCAGTACTTGTTAGTACTCACACTCACTCAGCCACCTCACCTCTCTGTTTACCCTTTCCCTCAGTGAAACACACACACTAGCTTGCTTGTCAGACAGCCCTTCAGCATGAGTCAGGGTCACATCTGTCCACAGGCACTTAACCACAGACGCAGGCAGGCAGGCAGAGGCAGGCAGAGGCAGGCAGAGGCAGGCAGAGGCAGGCAGAGGCAGGCAGAGGCAGGCAGAGGCAGGCAGAGGCAGGCAGAGGCAGGCAGAGGCAGGCAGAGGCAGGCAGGCAGGCAGGCAGGCAGGCAGGCAGACAGACAGACACGGTCTAAAAGGATGTTTCCACAGAAATGACTCTGGGCAGCATGTTACCAAATATCACTTAGGGAATGGGCATCAAAGCATTCATTATTAAATCAAAAACAGCATTGAGCTGGCTCCTCATTTAGGGCCCTCACTGTTTCTGTAACTAACTTGGCTGGTGAAGATCACCGCCTGCAACAGAAGCCCTGTTCATACCTACTGCCAACATTCTGATTGTGCCCACATTTTTAGACAGGTGTAGACGATGAAAAAACATTGTGATCCTCTGTAGCTCAATTGGTAGAGCATGGCGCTTGTAACGCCAGGGTAGTGGGTTCGATCCCTGGGACCACCCATACGTAAAAATGTATGTGCACATGACTGTAAGTCGCTTTGGATAAAAGTGTCTGCTAAATTACATATTATTATTATCTGATTGTAATCAGATCTTCCTGACCTCCTCCAGAGGTAGTCAGGCACGGATTGTGTCTGGATATCAGTCAAGCGTAAACAGATCTGGAATGGTCAAACTATTTAAATCATCATTAGACCAGCCTCTAACACCATTGACTTATGGCATCAGCAATTGTCTTAAAATAAATACATTCATATTATTTTGAAAGAATATCTGTCAAATAATTTGCTTACAGGGAGGTACTAGCTAATCTGGTCACAATGCGGACACAGTGAACGGATAAGAGACACATTTTAATACAATGTGTAGACACGACAAACCTTGATCATATAGTTATTGATCAGATCACATTTTAGTGCAAGGTGTAAACAAGGCTATAATGAACCCTGTATGACTTGCTATACAGAAGCTACTGAAACTTTCGTAACTATCAAGCTCTGATAACCAACTTAAATTGGGATAGCTTTGCTTTCGTGCTGTATCCATGTGAAGGAGTTTTTTCCCGTGATAAGTGAAACACCGAGCTATACAGTATTTCTAGATGCAGTCCATAGGTGCACAAACGTACACTTCTTTTAATGTCAACCCGATATGTTTTCCATACCCAGTTTTACCATAGATGGACCTAATAATGATAACCGGTCTTTGACTGATTAGATCACCTGTGAGCACATATGTTAGAGCCCACCTCTTATTGACCCAGGAACCATGGAAACGCTTCCTCAATGTATACTCTGAGGTTTCTGGGAGCTGAAGGCTTTTGAACAATGGGAGGCCCTATGTTTGAACGTTTTAGCCCCAAGCAACTGTTAACGTACTGCTACAGGAGACTGAAGGAGTGAGGAGCCAGGAAACACAACAGAATATAGCAGAGCATGACATTCCTTACATGGAAATATCTCATGTTCTGTGGTGGTAAAGACGGTACTGAATTCCTACTCACAAGCTGTCATGGGAGGATGTTAAACCGCCTCTGTATTTGAGGCACAAGGACTACAGCATTGGCTATGACCTCTGAGGAGGCGACAATCGTTCTGTCATCCCTGAACTGTTTTATTGATACCTTTATTTGGCACATTGTATTGAGGGCATTTTATAGAGCTCATTTGACCACACTTGAGTGCAAAAACAGACCCTAGAACTTGTTAATAAACAAGAGTAATGTACCAAACGGCAGCATCCAACATTGTGTCTGAAAGACATGTAGTCAGAGACTTTTGTGTACAAAAGCCACATTGTGTAGAGTAATAAAAAAAGACAATGGCAACCATTTGAATAAATGGGGAAGAGTTAGCAAGACTGTGTTTTGATACTGTCTTAATACTGCTCTTTCTGTTGGTTTCACACCTCACTTTGAGATATTTTGGTACCTCTGCTGTCCCTGCACAGGAGCCAAATGAGTAGGAGGTGCCACTCCAGGTCAGCCGGCTGGTAATTGCGTTTCTGGGCGGTGACAGGGACAGGGGAGGCCACTTCCGCTCAGATGGCACTGGGCATGAACCAGACAGAGGGGCCTTGTGTGTAGGCACAGTGGCACAGCAGGGTAAGGATGTCCTGGTGCCAGTCCTGTTGGCATGAGGCTACAGGATGGCATTCACAGGGCAGCGCGCTGGCTCTTCCACTGCTCCCAGGATTCCAATTAGGCCCATGGGACCGGTCCCAATGCCCAGCAGGACCGGACTCACACTCACTGGGGGGCCACAAGGAGCCCCAGGGGGCCTGTTTTCTTCTAATGGGAAGCTGCTTCTGCATGTGGCACGTGCAGGGTTCAGAGGGTAATGCTCAACTGCCAACCTTGATCCGGTACTGATAATGTCTGACAGGGTTCATTTGAGTCTGAAGTACCACTCATAACCACTAAAAAAAAGTGTAGTCTCTGTAGGGCTGACCCCATTTAGTCGACTGGTCGATTGTTTGGTCGATAGACTTTTGGTTGACCAAGATTTTCTTAGTCGAGCAGTGGCAAATGTATATTAAAAAAATGTCACATGAGACACCTGTCTGATTCACGCCTGTTTGAGTGGACTAATCCATTGCAGAGGCCGCGGGGATGGCAGTCCACAGTATCACCAGTAGTACATTTACCATTAATTACCATCATTTCTAATCTAGAATGTTTGTTATGGTAATTTCTGTTAATGATTTCAATATATTATTATCAAAAAGCATCCAAGTTGAATGGTGTTTCCTCTGACACATTGGTGCGGCTGAAATCCGGGTTAAGTGAGCAGTGTGATAAGAAGTAGGCGGCCAGGAGGATCATGTTTCGGAGGATGCATGACTTGACCTCCGCCTCTCCCGAGCCAATTGAGGAGTTGCAGAGATGAGCCAAGGGACCTAATTCGGGGAGAAAACAGGGTAAAATAAATATGCTTGTGGCCGTACCACCCTGAACATGCCTGTTCAGGGTCGGGCCTGGTTAGTACTGGGACGGGAGATTGTCTGGGAATACCAGGTGGCGTAAGCTCCAAAAAACATATACAAAAATATATATTATTATTACAGTCTTACCGTTGTCATTGTAGGAGTGGAAACGTTGTTTGCAGAGCGCACAACCTAGGCTACACTTGGTTAATTTCATTCCATTTACGAGTTGTCAATTTATTCACTGTCTTTTGTTTGGAGTGCTCCTGTCAATCTTGAGTAAGGACACGCACCTGATTACGCATAGAAGTAGGCCTAGGCTACCTGGCCTGCGTGCAAATGTAGGCCTATAAGTGTGCCCATTTGGGGATATGATACTATTTCTGATTGTCTTAACTCACCATCACTGTGGAGCTTCTCAAAGTAATTTTTTCTTTGCCTCAAACAGCAAGTAAACAAAGTCTGTTTTTACATCCATTGAGAATGACAATAGTTCCTCAACGTAGCCTATTTGAAAAATCGCTCCCTTTTGAAAACCACTCAGCATGAAAAGGGGAAAAAATTATTACTTCTTATCCTTTGCGCAAATAGCCTACAGCTGTGTCTGTTTGTCCGGAGCTCACTGGCACAGGGAAACTCTGAGGGCCCAGAATATTTTTACATATTGACAATGGCAATAGAAGTTACTTTTAGATTTGTATCATTTTATTTAGATAGAATTGTGATTAACCACATGACATTGATTTTGAGACATGAATCCTTTATTATAAATGAAATGAAACTGTTCCACAAAAATGTACATATGAAAATCATAACTGGCATGCAGATCAGTAGAAATGGTACGATAACTTGGCACTCCAAATGGAAAAGGTTGCCAACCGCTGGTGTATCCTATTACCGGCAACTTCAGGAGCATAATGGCAGAATCTGCAAAGCCCAGCAGCAGCGGGCAGCGAGAGAAGGAGGGTCGGGTCGGGAACAGGTTTTTTTATTCTGGTTAGGCTATATTTATCTCTGGCTCCCTCTTTAGTAATTTGTGTGTCTTCATTTTTAATCGCAGTGCTTAAAGCAAGCTCAGTAGCCTATATATAGTTGATTTTATTCAAACATAGGGTGTGTCTATATATGGAAAAATACACGTTTTAAAATTTGGAACAATTGATCGGTCGAAAGAACAGACAACTCTCGGTCGACCAAGATTGTTTTTTGTCGGGGACAGCCCTACATCTCTCTCTTGTGATTCACTATGGCCTCTGAGAAGACAGTGTCCCCTGTGCAGAAAGACAAGGGCATCTATAGTAACTACAGTATCATAGGCTAGGAGTTCATCCTGAGTTAAATAACAACAACTGTCTCTGAAATTATCTCTCATGCCACTCTGCAACAGCTGAACAAGTTCTGCCAGCTTTTAATTATTCCGTTGGTGTCTAGTAATAATTCTAAAGATGAGCATACTTAAAGAAATTCTCCAGTACTTTTGTGTACTTCTTAGCCAGTAGTTCTGAAAGTAGCACTCATGAGCCAAAAGTGGTCCCCGATTTTGTGGCTAATTGAGGTAGAACAGTAATTCTGCTCATAGATTATGCATGTATGATCTACAGAGTGACACATCTAGCCCAAAGCGGCAGGTTTAAAATATACTTAGTATTCGCCAAAGTTCCGGAGCATGTCTTCAACTACAACATTAGGCGAATGACTTGAGGTGAGCATGTGTTTTGTAATACTTACATTTCTGGGGGAAAATAAGTGGATCACAAAAACAATAACTTCAAGCACCATCTGTGAGTGAAGGGTGTCACTGCCCTTGGCATCACTGTTTAATGCTGTCTTTTTGAACAATGGTTTTCTGCCAAGGGATCTAGAGGGTAGAGACCCCTTTCATAACCTCTTTGAGATGTCTTAGATTGATGTCAGTAAAATATTTTGAAGGACAATGGAGAGTCACATGATTGATGTTTCCTTGATACTAGAAAATTAAGTGGAGCAATTCTTTCCATTACAGCTTGAGAATACCAACTCACCAAACTATTCCTTCTTCCCTCTTCTGTTGATCTACATCTCTCTCTATTGCTATCTTTTTCTATTTTCTCTCTCTCTCGCGCGCTCTCTCTCAGGTGTGGTGTACTCTGAGGTACGGCGGCCCTGCAGGGTCATGGTGCTGGTGAACCCCCAGAGTGGGCGGGGCCAGGCGCTCCAGCTTTTCTCCGGGCACATCGAGCCCATGCTCACCGAGGCTTCAGTCCCCTACACATTGGTCATCACTGGTCAGTCCCCTACACACACTGGTTACACACCTACCTCCCTGAGCCCTGTTATCTCACTGCCCTGATTGCGCACACATGCAAACACACACACGCACACACACACACACACACACACACAGTGTGTGACTCTGCACTGTCCTGTCGGATCCCCTGCTCCCAGTATTATATACTCTCAACTGTTTTTCACTTACAGTAGCAATGAGGTCAAAGTCACTGAACTCTGCATAACCTTTCACTGAATAAAAGTCAGGTCACTTTGAGCGAGCAGGAACAATCCAAGGAGCCAGAAAGCCTTTTAAAAATCACTTCAGCTACACATCAACCCCACCACCTATACTTTTACCAGCTCCCAGTACAGCTGACAAGAAGCTATCTCTGCCATCGTTACAAACCATCACCAAGACACCTACGAGTTGTTCAATGTCGTCTTAATCTTTGAAAGAACTGAAAAAGGAGAGAACAGAGAGAGAGGAGAAAGAGTGTGAGTGCAGTCCTAGGGGACATGGGGAAGGTTAGCATCTGGATGGTGATGAAAAAAGACAGTCTAATTACCGACGGTCGGCGTGGCGGTGCCGACCTGGGGCTGCTGGGAGCTGGGGCTGGGAAAATATGGGTCACCGAGGCTCTCTCAGCTAGCGCTCAGCTAGCACTGCCTCCCCTCCGCTGCCTGGGTACTGTAGCTAGCCTGTCTGAGTGGATTAACCAGCGCCACCTCGCCGCCCTGCCTGCCTCCACTTAGGGAATGGAGCCCTGCAGAACTATCATGTCACCTACTAGTCTATGCCAGAGGACTACGGCACACTGAGAGGATCGTGTTTCAGAGAGGGTGTGAATCTGGGGATTTCTGTGGTGTGTGTTCATGTGCGTGTGTGCGCCTGCATGTGTGTGTCTCCCTCAGGAACTGATGTGGAAAACAGTTCAATGTTCAAGTAGCTATGTATTCAGGAACTGAGAGCAGAAAACAGTTCTATTGGGCATGCGTTGGTATCATCTTAAACCAAAAGGGACCTTGGTTCATATTACATTAACAGAGAGTAGCTACCAAGCTATAGCTCATCAGAAGAGAGGATTACATAAAATCCAGAAAGTCATGAGATAGAAATAGTGTGTCCTGTTTAATGGGACTTGGTGCGGTAGCCCATGCTTGTGTGTGTTTGCGTGTGGCAGTGACCCTGTGAATAAGGAGATGGCTGGGAAGTGCAGCCTCAGCCTCAAGCCAGCAGCATAGAATGCTGAGTCAGCCGCAGCAGCCTCCCCCTGCACAGGACCACATCACTGCTCTCTCAGTCTCCCCACACATACCAAACAGCATGGACTTAAAGGAGACTCAGTGGGTGAGAGAGGGCTAGGGGACAGGTAAATGTTATGTTAGCAGAGGAGGAGAAGAGGAGGAGGAGAGAAATTGAGTTTTCTGGTCGTTTTTCCAATTCTCTAAATATATGGTAACTCAAGCAAAAAAGTAATGCCCTTGTGATGACAATGCCTCAACACACCCACACAGTCACAGGCATAGACACACACAATTGCAGAAACAAACAAACACAGTACTGCCTTTAGCAGAGCAGATCTTTGCTGCAGAACACAAGTCTCAGCTGGCAGAATGGTACTAGACATTGTGCTTAGGGGTAATCCAATAAGACCCCCTGCAGCGCGACTGTCTCAAGAACATCTCCAATAAAAACTCCACTAAACAAACAAGAGTCGGCCCCAGTCGTCACATTAACCATCACACCAGTGGCAGATGTTTGCACTAAGGCCTGGCTGCTTTGAAGACTGCCATCGGCCAGTTGAATAGTCACTGCATGGTTTAATGTGATATGTTTGGACTGATAGAGGGGCATTGAATCCCTTTTCTCTCTAATCTCACTGATCCCTCCCTGGGGGCTTCTGGTGAAGGGAGGTCATCTCTCGGATCTTATTCTCTCTCTCTTTCCTCCCTCCTTCTCCCTGTCCCTCTCTCTCATGGCGTTTCTCACTGTTCCCCACAGAGCACCAGAACCATGCGAGGGACCTGGTGAGAGAGACTGATCTGTCACAGTGGGACGCTCTGGTCATCCTGTCAGGAGACGGGCTGCTGTTCGAGGTGCGCCAAGTATAGACACCGCATTAACACATTTCCAGCCTAGCTAACTTGTCTAAGGTCTCCCTAAGACTGTTTGAATAAGCAGTGGGGTTTGTGGGGTACAACTCTCAGTTGGAGGATCATGGCCTGATGCTGTTTGTGTGTGTTTGCCTGTCCTGTCAGGTGTTGAATGGTCTTCTGGAGAGAGAGGACTGGGAGGAGGCCATCCAGACCCCACTGGGCATCTTACCAGGGGGCTCGGGAAACGCCCTGGCAGCCTCCGTCCACCACTACACTGAGTAAGTCCACTAATGAGACATTTAAATGCATAGAGTACAGTAGAATGGAATACGATAGGAAAACCGGCCTGGACAAAGGTGATTTATCCCATTTCTATGGGTGTAATTATCACATTGGCTGACTGGGCAGAGTAGGCACATTTCTCCAGAGACAGGGGAGAGATATGAGTCCCAGTGTCTGCTTCAGCTTCACACTTCATAAAGTCCAAGAAGAGGGATTATTTGAGGGTTGCTGATAACTACTTTTAATGAAGTGATGTAATGGGTTTTAGAGAAACTGGAAATTCGGTGCACTACTACTAGTGTCTTATTACTGGACCGGCTTTATTACTGCTGTTTGTGAAATATGTAAAATATGAGCCCCCTACTTTTACAACATCAACAGATAACAACAACAAAATACACAGGTATAACATCAGATATCTATCACAGTTTAATAAAGCTTTGCAACCTATGAACAACCCTAACTCTAACACCCCGGTTCAAACCTAACCCAGCTAACCGTAGCAACAACCCTAACCCTAGCTTCATGTCCACACCCCGGTTCAACCCTAACCCCATTATCTTACAGTCAGACAGTGCAGATGGTTATGTTTAAAGTACTGTAACTGTCCAGTGTTTCCAGATTTCTATGAAATATGACCTATAATTACTTACAATATGAGTTAAATAGTTTTCCTTCCATAAAATGGTAATTAAGAATGTTAAAAAGCAGCTTTTCTGTGTTGGAATGGTGTGGGCATACCCCAACAACAGAATGGTGTGGGCGTACGGTATACCGGTCATTACAAATATTAATGTGAGTAGACTGCTGATTGGCCAGCTCATCCTCCTCTAGACCGCTGATTGGTCAGCTCATCCTCCTCAGGAGTATGACATCATACTCTATGAGGAGATGCAAGCATTTTTGAAACGGTGAGTTTGAGATAGTTTTAGTTGGGGTTAATTAAGTGTTTTTTTCCAAGTTATACTTTGGCCACAAAAATGAGTATAGGACGAGTCAACAACCTTATTTGGGTAAGAGTTAGCAGAATATGAACTTAAAAGTGAGATTTTCACTGGACAGTTACTTTAAAACAATGGGATTAGGGTTTAACCGGTGTGTGGACATGAACCTAGGGTTAGCTTTAGGGTTATGGTTAGAGTTAGGGTTGAACCGGGGTGTGGCCATGAAGGTAGGGTTAGGGTTATGGTGAGGGTTACTGCTGTAAGTACAATGTATTACCATTCTAGGGTTAGGGTTAGGGTCATTACTTTTAGGTGAGGGAGTAGCTCCGGCTCAATTGAACCACAGACTGATACCTAACTGCCCCAGTCTACTGTGAGCTGACTACTACTCCCTGCAGGTCTTCCCCGGCCTTGGGTGAGGAGCTGCTGCTGAGCTGTGGCTTCCTGCTGTGTAAAGGCCTGGTGTCTCGGCTGGACCTGGTCTCTGTCCACCTGGCCTCCAGCCAACGCATCTTCTCCTTCCTCTCCCTGGCCTGGGGCTTCGTGGCCGACATCGACATCGAGAGCGAGAAATACCGCCTCGTGGGCGCAATGCGCTTCCTGGTGGGTACGCTGGTGCGCCTGGCCTCCCTCAGGGTGTATCAGGGTAGGCTGGCATACCTGCCTGTCAAGGAGGCCCTGCAGCCAGGCCAGGGCACCAAGGCCCATGCCCCTCCCTCCACACCCCAGCACTCCTCCCTCTGCTCATCTCTACCCTGTGGGCCCAACAGCTCCCCCAATCAGAACTCTCGCCACAACCACAGCACAAACTCCAACCACAACACCGCCCATAACTCCTCCAACAATGCCATCACCACCATGAGGACGGAGCCCCAACCAGCCAACCAGAAGGGGCCTCCTGACTCGCTCCTAGCAGACCTGGAGCAGCCTGTGCCTGAGCATTGGACAGTAGTGAATGAGGAAGACTTTGTACTGGTATTGGCCATGTTCCAGTCCCACTTGGCTGAGGACATGTTTGCCGCCCCTGGGGCCGCAGCAGACGACGGCTTCATCCACCTGTTGTATGTGCGTGCAGGCATCTCCCGGCTAGCCCTGCTCAGACTCTTCATGGCCATGGAGAAGGGGGCCCACCTGGCCATTGACTGCCCACACCTTGTGTACGAGAGGGTGAAGGCCTTTCGCCTGGAGCCTCTCACCCCTGAGGGAGCGATCACTGTGGACGGGGAGATGGTGGAGTACGGGCCAGTACAGGCCCAGGTTCATGAAGGAATCGCCAGGCTCATCTCAGGCTGAAAACTCGGAGTGTCTGTCCTCCCCACAGCTCTGACTACTCGCTCCCTTTCTTACTCTGTCTACTGTATATACAAAGTGCCAAAGACATTATATCAGCCTTTGGAAAATCCCCCCTCTATTTTTCCACAGATACATTCAGTATCTATCTCTGTGTCCTATTTTTTTTATAGATCCCTCCCTTGCCTCTCCATGCTTCATTCAGGGTCAAAGCCATGGATGTTCTTGCAGCTGGCTGGTCTCAGCTAAGAGGGTGTGGTGAGTTATGTGTTTAGTAGGGAGGGCCCCACAGCTGAGGAGTGCATTGTGTGCTCCGCTGTCTGACTTAATAAGTGTGACACACGTGAAGAGAAGCACATTCTTCTGTCCCACGAGGATGGGGCAGGCGACCAGCTCTACTTCCGCTATCAAGCCCCGGGCTAATCATTCTGTGGAGGATGAGACACGGGCCTGACATGAAGGCCTTCTCCCCTCATGATATACTTTATACAGCACAACGTGGGAGAATGCAGCATTGTAGACCTCCACCAATGATATTAGGTTACTCTTCTCTCTCTCATCAGTGAAAACCTCCACTTTACCTCTATGTTTAATGGATGGGGTGGAAGGGGTTAGGTGCTGGTGAGGTCGTGTTAAAGCAGCCTGGAGGTTCAGGAACCTGGCCAGCTGAGGTTACCTTCTAATATATCTTGCCTGTCTCCTACTCAGCTGCTGCTGCAGCTCTAGCCAACATGCTTCTTGGACCACCTCCTTCCTGACACACACACACACACACACACACACACACACACACACACACACACACACAGGCTTGACACTTCCTTTCAGATCTGCTGCACTTAGCAAGAAGGAGGGGGATGGTCTGCTACATATGATCCCTCTCTTCTAGCTGTCTTAAGATTGTACTCCCTCCTCCTTCACAAGATTTCGGAGCCATCAGCACCTAATGTGTCCTTATTCTTAAGCTTTATGGGTGAATGAAAAATAATAGCTGATAGAAAAAAATATAAAATGTTTCCGTTTTTTTCTGTCCAAGCACACACTAAGAAGAGAAACAGGATTTTGCACTACGCAGCACTGCATGGTTCAGAGGGTTTTGCAAATTGACTCGATCAATAGGAGCTGGAGTGACCAGGCCAGAGTGCTGTGCTCTCCACTGTGGCCTTTTTTTTGTCAGGGCGGAGATGATGAGCATTAGTGCACTGGAGCAGAGACGAGGTCAAATGTGAGCATTATCATCAGTTCTCCTCGCACCAGTTCATGCCAGGTCGGGTTCACCCCAGAGGTATAACAACTACTGGCTTAACTAATCCCAGAGCACACCCTTGGTTTGGTTTGACTCAAAATGTCATATGGGTGGAATGGTTTTAATGTACTGTATAATGAATCTAAAAGGATGCTTAAAATGACTCTACTTGAAGGTACGCTGACTGCAGATGTAATATTAACTTCTCCCATTCTGATTTCAATCTTCCATTTCTGTGCCTGTACCTGACTTTGACATGCCTTTAGATAAATAAAAGTTCAAGTTTTATTTGTCACATGCACAAGTACAGTGAAATGCTTAACTTGCCAGCCCTACCCAACAGTGCAGTATTCAATATAAAAAAAGTATAAAAAAACAAGGGAACAAAAACATGAGAAATAACTAATAGGAGAGGAAGCTATATACAGGGTTAGTGCCAGTACCACATTTACAATGTACAGGGATACTGGAGTATTGTGTTAGATATGTACATGTAAACTGGGATTAGGAGAAAGTGACTGGTAGCAGGATAAATAATTTATTATAATAATATTAAACATACTGTACACATACTGTACTGTAAACATACTGTACTGTACCTTTCACCCCATACATACCTATCTACCTACCTAGTCCTCATTTGTCAGGCTCTGCCGGTGGTATTGACAAGGCCATAGACCATGCAGACACAAGGAAAAGCACATATCCAAATTGAGAGATTAGCTATGCAAATTCTTTCAATGTGGCCCGTTCTGGGACGCCTCACTGCTCTTTATGCAGTGTGAGGGGTCCCCCTATTGGATTTACCTTAACCAGTCATTGCAGTGCAAGTGGTGGAAGTTCTTGCACACTTGTTTCTATGGTACAATACAGTAGTACTGTATACAATCTTATAACTCACTTTCATTTTTTGTATGTTTGGTTGCATTGATTCACTAACATGCTGGTATGCAGGTTATGAAAACAACATCCATTTTGAATTAAACTACAATCACTTATCATATTTCCATCTGATTATCAAAAACCTCATGCTAGACTGTGTATACTGAGCATAATCTCTCCTCAACCGAACAGACGAGGACATCCATTGCTGACCCTGGCTGACCCTAGTGGCAAGAGACTTGTACACCAATACAGACTGTTATGAAATCTGTACACAAAACAACTGGTCTCAACACATGTGAGTGGAGTAATTGCAATTGTGTTGAACTACTGTTATCTTCTCTGTCCTGTATCCTTGGCTGGTAGGGTGGACTGTGGAGTGACTACATTATAGTACTGTTATTGATATTCAAATACTGCTATAGTCTTCTCATTGCTTTCATGTCATTTTCTATGTCATCATTCCCATGTTGGAGAGAGATCTATATTTAGTAAGAACCACAACTAAATACATGAATCCTGCTGTATCAACTGTCTGAATGGTAATAAAATTCCAACATTCTTCAAGAGTTCTGTCTTGTTCATTATTAGCATCCAGCTTTTCCAGAGAGCATCAACAATGTTGTCTTTTTAGTTTTTATATTAAGTGAAAATGTTAATCCAGTGGTTAATATTGGCCATTACAGGTATTGTATATTTGAGGGTGTATTATAGTTCTGCTTTTAGGACTATACTAATCTTATCCTCATGATGGCAGTGTTCCAATGTAAGTACTGCTAATAGCTTATCTCCCTCTAGCCATGGAACCCATTCTAAAAATCCACCTGTTGAGAGAGTAACCTCTAAAGCATATAATTGGTAGGCCTATACTGATCAGACCGGGTATACAGAACTTGGCTGGAGCAAGAGTTGACCACAATTACTCCATGCCTATATCTCCCAAATATACAGGAGAATATCCACTTTGACATGTGTCAGTCAAACTCAAGGTATGACGTTAGAAGCTAATACGCCGAGTTGTGGAAACAATTTCTATAATCCCGTCACGTGACATAGTAATAATCACTGGCTTTATAATGAGGTGGACGTCTTTCAGGGCACGGAAGAGAGAGAGAGGAGGGAGAAGGATATAAAGAGAGGGTGAGATAAGACAATAAGACAGGGAGAGAGAGTGTTCTGCTGAGATTGCATCAGGTAAGTAATGCAACGTTATTTTCAGTTACAGTGCTCTTGTGGGTTACCATGTCATTTCAGAGTATCTGCAAATGACTATATCTGCATATGAGTATCTGCATATGATTGCAATCAAATATCGAATGGCAGAGGAAAAAACATATATTGTAAATTCATTACATTCAGTGTGTTAATTCTCTACTCAGTGTTACATTAATTATCTAGACAATTAATAGACAGGTTGTCACAACACTGCCATTTGTGCGTAAAGCAGCTGACCTCAGGTCGCTTAATTTCTGGTTTTGGTTAATTGCTCTCCACTCTCCCTCGCTCCAAATTCCATTATTTCATTCATGAGCACCGACGTCGTACTATTCATATTCGAAATGGTAAAATGACTCACATCTACATGGACCACATTCTATAAATACGGATTCTACTCACTCTTGGTCATCTGTGCACAGGCTGTCCCAACAAGAGGAGGAAAACTGAAGATTAACCTGCGCATAACAGCTAAGAGAGAAGACTTGTGCAATCAAACCACTAGAGAAGGAACAGAAGAATATCGAAGTAATCCAACTGGAGTTATAAAAGTTGTAAAATGTCACTAGTGGGCGCCCTGCCTTTCCTGAAACCGCGCCTATCCCCATCTGTTTCTCCTGGGCGCCAAAGAAGACACACACTGCCAGCAAGCGAGTTCCGACCGCTCAACACGCAAGATGCCATCAGCGTGTTCGAAATCGAGAAAGAGGGTAAATTGTCCATAGATTCAGTTATAAATGTGTGTATGTATTATGTGTTATGAATTAATGGCACGAATATGCAATGTATGAGTGGTAACAGGGGTACTCAAGGTGCGCGTAAAACTCGTGCCAACAGCCTCTCCATGAGCTTTACGCACGTTGACTGCGGCGCTCTAGTCTGTCTCTTGCTTTCCATAACACTTTGTATTTATCCCTCGTTCTGGCTTTAATGCACTGATACGGATCCGCCTTGGCATTCTTATATACAGTAAATCCAAGGATTATGAAAACGTGTCTCTCTCTTTTCCTCCGCCAGCCTTCATCTCTGTGTCAGGAGACTGCCCGCTCCACCTTGATGAGGTCCGTCATTTCCTCACGCTGTGTCCAGAGCTGTCCATGGGCTGGTTTGAGGAGGGGAGACTAGTAGCCTTCATCATTGGGTCCCTATGGGACCAGGACAGGCTCACCCTAGTAAGACACCTTCTATGATGTTATATAATTTCCTATTGATTCATAGGTCATTTACTCTATATCTTACTGTGTTTTTATTAACTCACTGATAGTTTTTCAAACTCAGGTGCTCTGTATTACATCACTGTACATATTATTGAATGCACTCTGCTTGAGCTACATTTGCATTTTTCCTTTGCTGCAGGAAGCCCTAACTCTTCACAAGCCCAAAGGCTCCACAGTTCATATCCATGTGCTGGCAGTCCACCGGACCTTCCGGCAGCAGGGCAAGGGCCCTATCCTGATGTGGCGCTACCTGCAGTACCTGCGCTGCCTGCCCTATGTGCGCCGTGCAGTGCTCATGTGCGAGGACTTCCTGATTCCCTTCTACCAGAAGTCTGGCTTCAAGGTGCAGGGCCGCTGTTCCATCACGGTGGCATCACTGACCTTCACAGAGATGCAGTACCCTGTGAGGGGCCATGCCCTCATGCGCCGCAACAGTGAAGCTATTGGTTTTCCTCAGACTGCGTTATTATTGGAAGAACAGACTCAGAGGCTTGAGTCTGTGTTATTATTGGAGGAACCAATTCAGAAGAGTGAGACTGCATTGTTATTGGAGGAACAGACTCAGAGGACTGAGCCTGAGCCTGCTGATGTGTAAATATTATTTTACTGAGTAAGATATTAGATTCCTGCTGTACATATCAACTATGATGTAAAATAAACTGACGTATACATTTACATTTATATCGAAGATGGTAGTCTAAAGTGCACACCATACATGCATGACCAATGCAGGGAGTCTTTAATTTCAGATATGTAATGTTATTTAATATGTGAATATTTCAACGTTAACTAGCCACATGCTAATGAATGTTAGAACACATATTGTGTGACTTCTGTCTGTGTGAGATTATCTTTTTACTGCAAATGTTCCTATTTTATTTATCATAGGTTTTGTCTGAAGGTTTGGGCTGCAAGACCCCACCTTACCTCATCTCTGACGGTATGGACTGACGTCATTGACTACCAGGCTTTAGCAGCTCAACCGTGCCTCTTTATCTCTATTAGTGGGCATTAGCTATTGTAAACGTCTGAGGATTTACAAGAGGATCCTTTCATTGGACTGCCAGTAGATCTAGTGACCTAAGTTAACAAGCCTGTTTTCATACCATGAGAAAAGTAGGCTACATACACACCAATTTGGATTAATTTGTTACTGAAACTGCTTGTCTATTCATTTATCTTTGGGTCATATGTGCAGAGCGTTGATCAAACCATGTCATATATTCTCTTACTCCACCAGAACCTGTCTTACCCTTGAAACCAATCATATCTTTAATAAATATGTTTTTGTACTGTTTTTGTAATTAGAAAATACAATAAAGATGATCATTTATTAACTTTCTGAACATGTATAATTTAATTTACTGTTGATTAATTTAACCATATTTAGTCATAAGAATACACAACATCATACACATACTTTGGCTGCGTTTACACAGGCATCCCAATTCTGATCTTTTGCCCATTTATTGGCAAAAGGGCTGATCTGATTGGTCCAATAAGTGGGACAAGATCAGAATTGGGCTACCTGTGTAAACAGCCTAACATTTGCCACGACCCAGAACTAAAGCTTGCGTGAACGTGGCCAGCTACTGGACAGGAAAGACTACTGGACAGCAGTTTTCAATCTATAGCTAGAGGACTCCTGATATCTCCAGGCGACCTCAACCTCCTTACGTCTGCCTTCGATTCATTTCTTTCCACCTCTTTCTTTCCCCTCCTTGCCTCCTTTGACCTCACCCTTTCCCAGTCCCCTCCCACTCACAAGGCAGGCAGTATGCTTGACCTCATTCTTACTAGAGGCTGTTTGCCTACTAATTTCACTGCAACCCCCCTCCAGGTCTCTGATCACTACTTTGTTTCCTTTTCTGGCTCCCTCTCCTCCGACCCTATCCACTCAGCCCCTACCCAGATGGTCATGCGCCGTCGCAATCTTCGCTCTCTCTCTTCCACTACTCTATCCTCATCTATCCTGTCATCTCTCCCTTCTGCTAAATCCTTCTCCTTCCTGTCTCCTGATTCTGCCTCTTTGACCCTACTTTCCTCCCTTTCTGCATCCTATGACTTGCACTGTCCCTTTCCTCCCGGCCGGCTCGGCCCTCCCCTCCTGTTCCATGGTTAAGTGACTCATTGCGAGCATACAGAACAGGACGAAAATGGAGGAAAGCTAAACTTCCGGAGGACCTATCATCCTTTCACTCCCTCCTCTCTACCGTTTCTTTCTCTGTATCCGCTGCTAAAGTTACTTTCTATCACTCCAAATTTCAAACCTCACATTCTCCTCCCTCCTTAATCCTCCACCTTCCTCATCCCTCTCTGCAGACGACTTTGTCAACCACTTTGAAAAGAAGGTTGAAGACATCAGCTCCTCATTCACTCAGCCTATTGAGTCTATTGGTCCCACTCACACAGAACAACTACCCTACGACTTGACCTCTTTCTCCCTTCTCTCTCCAGATGAAATCCTGCGACTAGTGAGGTCCGGCCGCCAAACAACCGGCCCGCTCAACCCCATCCCCTCCTCCCTTCTCCTGACCATCTCTGGAGACCTTCTCCCAGTCCTCACTTCCCTCATCAACTCATCCCTGACCACTGGCTGCCTCCCCTCTGACTTCAAAATGGCCAGAGTCGCTCCCGTCCTCAAGAAACCAACACTTGACCCCTCTGACATCAAAAACTGCAGACTGGTATCCCTTCTTTCTTTTCTTTCCAAAACAATTGAGCGTGATGTCTCTGACCAACTCTCTCGCTATCTCTCTCAGAATGTCAGTCAGGCTTCAAGACAGGTCACTCGACATCGACTGCTCTCCTCTGTATCAGGGAGGCTCTCCGCACTGCCAAAGCTGACTCTCTCTCCTCTGTTCTCACCCTCCTCCTAGATCTGTCCGCTGCCTTTAACACAGTGAACCATCAGATCCTCCTCTCCACCCTCTCAGGGCTGGGCGTCTCAGGCTCTGCACACTCTTGGATTGCATCCTACCTGACAGGCCGCTCCTACCAGGTGACGTGGCTTCACCACATACTCTCACTACTGGTGTCCCCCAGGGCTTAGTTCTAGGCCCTCTCCTCTTCTCTCTATACACCAAGTCACTCGGCTCCGTCATATCCTCACATGGTCTCTCCTATCATTGCTATGCGGATGACACTCAACTACTTTTCTCCTTCCCCCATTCTGACACTCAGGTGGCGACATGCATCTCTGCGTGCCTGGCAGATGTCTGCCCACCACCTCAAGCTAAACCTCGAGAAGACTAAGCTGCTCTTCCTCCCGAGGAAGGCCTGCCCACTCCAAGACCTCTCCATCAAGGTTGACAACTCCACGGTGTCCCCCTCCCATAGTGCAAAGAACCTTGGCGTGACCCTGGACAACACCCTGTCATTCTCTGCAAACATCAAAGCAGTGACTCCCTCCTGGTGATTCATGCTCTACAACATCCGTAGAGTATGAACCTACCGCACACAGGCAGCGGCGCAGGTCCTAATCCAGGCACTTATCATCTCCCGTCTGGACTACTGCAACTCGCTGTTGGCTGGGCTCCCCGCTTGTGCTATCAAACCCCTGCAACTTATCCAGAACGTCACAGCCCGCCTGGTGTTCAACCTTCCCAAGTTCTCCCATGTCACCCCGCTCCTCCGCACACTCCACTGGCTTCCAGTGGAAGCTCGCATCCACTACAAGACCATGGTACTTGCCTACAGAGCAGCAAGGGGAACTGTTCCTCCCTACCTTCAGGCTATGCTCATATCCTACACCCCAACCCGAGTGCTCCGTTCTTCCACCTCTGTGGTTGTCCCACCTAGCTATCTTAAGATGAATGCACTAACTGTAAGTCGCTTTGGATAAGAGCGTCTGCTAAATGACTAAAATGTAAATGTAAAGTGCAGGGGCAGACTTTTGACTCAAATTGAAAGTTACAGATTGTGTTTATAATTCCTGACCGTGTGCATTTCGGTGAGGGTGAAATAGTAATATTTTGGAATTCAGAAGAAATAAAGTACTGACTGCCATATATTAGTGTTGTCTTTTTACATTAAGTGTTTTATTACACCTGCTTAAATTGATAATCTCACTCGAGGTGGTATTTATTGGAGAGACAGGTGATGAGTGGGCAAAGCCTTCCAGAGTAAATTTTTCCCAATTAAGGCATACTGTCACCCTGTCAGTCTTCATCCACAATCCTGCCAGGTGAACAACTGAACCCACACGGAAGGGTAAATCTGGCACAAGGAGATAAACTCCCCTCACTCATTTATATAGAACCTAATCTGCAAAGTAAGCGCAATTATAGCATGATCCGATTTTTCATCCTAAAATTGTATCATGACACATTCTTTAAATCCCATCTACAATGAGGGAGACAACCACCACCATACATGTCAACATAGCCGGCTGCGACCGGGAGACCCATGGGGCGGCACACAATTGGCCCAGCATCGTCCAGGGTAGGGGAGGGAATGGCCAGCAGGGATGTAGCTCAGTTGGTAGAGCATGGCGTTTGCAACGCCAGGGTTGTGGGTTTGATTCCCACGGGGGGCCAGTATGAAAAATTAAAAAATTATGAATGCACTCACTAACTGTAAGTGGCTCTGGATAAGAGCGTCTGCTAAATGACTAAAATGTAAAAAAATGTAATGGTGTGTTTGAATGAATTCTAGCCACAGAACACCTAATTCCATCCTTTACGGTTAGAAATGCGTACATTTTCCCTTGCTGCTCTGAATGTATTAGGGTTGGGATATTGTCTAGCCATTAGTGAGGAGTGCTGCTGTATGATGTGTTTGCTGAGGTCACAGTAATGAAAGAGCATCGACTCCCCCAGCCATCAGTGTTAGAAGCGTGAGCGGCACTAAATTGCATTAAATGAAGGACAGGTGTCAGTGACGCCTATTCATCCCAATAGTGGAAACATAGTGGTGCAAATGCTTCCTCTTGTGTGCAGTGGACACAGGATCAGTGCCAAAGACAGTGGTCTGGCATTATGGAAATAATCACACAGTAATACAAAAGGGCCTGCAATTACTTTTGTCATCCATTATGCTTTGTTTACAATGACTGAAAACAACTTACTGTACTTTCATTGAGGTGGACGGACGATTCCATGCCACACCATCTTCCTACTGCAATGAGTGAGTTGTCATCATAATGTATACCATAATTTATGTACTGTATTTGTTATGTGTGTTTTCAGTTATGAGAGTTATTCAGAAAGCATGGCCAAATCAACAAAGTGGCTCCTTAGACCTTTGACTACTGTTTAAAAGAACAGTACTACAATGATCAATCTGCCACCCAGGGCATTCAAGTTGTGTTGCTTGATGGTTTTTCTAAATGAATTGCTTTTTGGAATTTAGGGGTCATCTACCTCAGCATGGGACCACAGTAAGTCATTTCACCAACCAGTGCAAAATACAATAAAACATTTGGACATCTTCACCATCGTCAAATGCATTCTTCTCATAGCTAGGCTGTGTTCTGTAATCTGTCATTGTTTTTAATCCCTATATCATTTTAACCACTTATGGCACCAGGTCACTCATTTTACAACCTCATTTTACTTACGGGAGGGGGACACTTCCCCTCCAGACAGGCGCATGTCCAATAATCCCACAAAGCCCTGTCAGTAACCAACTAATCTGTTTACTAGACATCCCATCAGAGGGGATCACTTTCCCCGACTCTCACCAGTCCCCACAAAACCTTTCACCTCTCACCAGGACAAGGGGAGGGACATTTACATCTGTAGAGCCTTATTTACTGGCATAACGGCCCATTCTGGTTGGACACACAGCAGCACAGAAGCTCTCAACATTAAATCCACTGTGTATTGCATTAGCCTGCTACCTTGTTTTATGGTTCTGCCATCATGTGAGAATGTCAAAACATGGACATCCTCGTTATCATGTGGTCTCAGCTGGGTCACAGAAGTGAAATTGACAATGGGCAGCACACTAAACACCAGGAAAGAGGGGGGGCACTACCATTACTGAAAAGACAATACTATACCATGAAAGGCTAATCCCTGAACATCCTTGGAGGTCATCTTCCTGCTACATTTTTAGTTTTTATTCCAGTGAGCTCTATTTTTGTTTTATTAGTTTTTTACTTCTTTTTCTATTCTTATTGTTGTTCCATTGTTTAGAGGCGAACAACCAAGTAAGAATGTCCTTGTACTGTGTACAGTACACCACTGTCATGATCGTTGATGAACGGGACGGACCAAGGCGCAGCGTGATATGCGTACATGTTTATTAAATATCAAACACAACGACAAAATAACAAACAAAACTAAACGTGACGTCCAAGGCAGCACAACACAACATACCTTAACACGGAACAAGATCCCACAACCCACTAGTGCCAATAGGCTGCCTAAGTATTGTCCCCAATCAGAGACAACGAGCTACAGCTGCCTCTGATTGGGAATCACACCGGCCAACATAGATCTACACGATCTAGATCTAAACATAGAAAATGCAACACAGAACATACTACACAGAAAATACACACCCTGACTCAACAAATACGAGTCCCCAGAGTCAGGGCGTGACAACCACAATGTGTTCCTGTCCATATGACAAATAAACAACTTGAACTTCAACCGTTACCACCATCATATAGGAGTAATCACACACAGAGACCAACGTTTGTTTAGAAAAATATAATAATGAGTGCTTATTTGAAAGTTTATTGGAATAAATGGCTCTCACAATACTGAAAAACAAATCAAAAGAAAGCTCTTCACCAAACATACATTTTAATTATGTGTACAGCAACTCTTGAGAATCATAGCATCACTAAAGAACAGGTCAATGTATACAGTACAACCTAGACATTTTCTGACTTCAACAATCAGAACTATAAAAATGTTCTACCTTTACCATAAAGACATCATAAGAATATGTTTGTGTTGTTGTGATCTGAATTCTATTTCTATTTAGCACCTGGAGCTGTAGCATCACTCTAGATCTGGCATGTGTGTCAGCCACATGTCTAGACTTGGCTGTAGGAGCCAGAGAATCGATAGTTGGAGTATGATGGTGCATCTCTGGAGTCACCGCTGGAGGATGCAGGGAGCAGCAAGAGTCCTGTAGTGACATCTTTTTTGCAGCGATCCATTGCCTCCTTGTAAGAGATCTTCTCTTTCGTGATGGGGTCAATCAACTCTTTGGTGTGGGCAGACTTGTCTTGGAGGTTCTTGGCTACTGTGCTGTCGATTATCTTGGTGTTAAGAGCATCTTGGACACTGATGCGACCAGCTTTATGGGGGTTCACCAGCCCCCCAGTCAGGTACTGTGCTTCCATGTATCTCACGGCACTATCCTGAGGTATCCAGCCTTTCTCAGCCGCTTGCCCTACTGCGAGACGTTCCTTGGTCACAGGATCCTCTACTCCAGTGAAGGCCTTCTGAGCATTCAACAGCAGATGCATGTGACTTTTGTCAATGAGACCCAGCTCAACTGCCTTGTGAACAGAGAACTTGTCCTTTCTGTTGAGGTCGACGATGCCACCCGTGGCTGCCTGTGCCTCCAGGAGCTTCTGGGCTGTGTTTGGGTCAATAAGGTTTCGAGTCAGGGCACTACGCACAGACATACGGCTGTTGGTGGTGGTGTCCAGCACCCCAGAGATTGGGTAGAGCTCATCACCGCTAAAAGTATTCAGGTTGCTACTGCTACCGTATCTATTGTTTGTGAGATTTGAGTAGGAAGACCTGAGTGATGAGGGCATTGTGCTCAAAGAAGATGCTGCAGTGGTCTTTGTCGGTGTCCTTGGTGTTGCGATTGGACCAATGTAAGGCTTCGGTTTGGAATCCCCAGCGACCAGGAGAGCAAATTCTGAGATAGGCATTTTACCCTCCTTGTAGCGGTGCAGATCGGACTGGGTCAAGCGGCCATCCTTTAGAGCATTCTTGACAGAGAATTGCTTTCCACTCTTGCGATCTTGCAGAATCGAGGTCTCCCCATCTGGACCCATTGAGGTGATCTCCTCCCAGTCACATTCTAGCTCCTGGAGGTGGATGTACTGGTTGCGGTCAATCAGACCCTCTAAGTAGGCATCATATGGTGCCATGTCTTTGCCAGTCTCGGGGTCAAGGATGCTGATTCTAGTGGAGAGGTTGGTCTCTCTGGTATGTGTCTCAGAGTGATCCTCTTTCTTCAGATTGTTCTGCAGCTCCATAATGTAGGTCTCCTTTTGGTGTATCCGGTCTTTTTCATCCAGGATGTCCTTCTCTAGACGTTGTACCTCAGAATCCATCTTGAAGCCCCTTTGCCTGTTTATCTGGTTTCTCTCACTCATCAGCTTGGACTGCAGCTGGAACGATATGCTTATGTCCTGTTTCTCAGACTCCAACGTCCTCAGTGTTTTGAGGAGATTTTCCTTCTCTCTGATCAGGGAATCTCGATTGAGGGTGATGCTTGTTTCTTCGTGAGAGGTGCTTGACTTTGTGGTCTGGAGCCGGGTCACTTTGGTATTAAGCCTCTGGATTTCATCTTCTTGGTCCCGTCTGGAACTTCTTTCCTGTAACACTAGTTCTCTGAGATGGTCCCTCTCAGCCTCCACATTCTGGTCCTTCTCCACCCGAATCACCTCTTTATATACAGTCTTTTCAATGGACTTCTCCTTGCGCAGGATGTCCAACTTGATCTTCAGGTTTCGGATATCCCTTTCCAGACGACTGATGTTGGTTTCCTCCGTATCCATGTCTGTGCGTAAGCCACTGGTTAGTTTCTCAAGCTTGGGGTCTCTCTCCACTTTGAGGACTTCCTCAATAATGATCTTCTCCGCAATGGGTTGAGGGGTATTTTCAAGCTCAAGGATGCGAGATTTGATCTGTCTAAGCTCTATTTCTACTTGGATTTTCTTTTGCCGGTCGTCCATCAGTGCCAAGTTTCTCTCTTTCTCCTCAACCAGGGCTCTCAGCTGCCGAACTTCCAATTCCAGTTTTCTACGGGATTTAACCTCTTCATCCAAGTTCTTGTTCAGCTTTTCATGCTCCAGGATTTGTTTTGGATCCTTCTCAAGACGCACCACTTCCTGCATCACAATCTTCTCCTCTGGTTTCTGCCTTTCCAGCATGATGTACTTGTTCTGCAGGTCAAAGACAGTTTCCTCCACGTTGCGTCGTTTCTGGATTTCCTCCCTCACATCTCTCCTCAGACGGTCAGCCTCCTTCTCCAGTAGGGGGTCATTTTCGTATTTGATCAACTCTTTGTTTACAAGCTTTGTCTCTAACTTAGACTTTTCGACCTTCCATTCATCTCTCTCTTTGCGCAGGCGGCTCAGCAGATCAAGGGTGCTGTCATATGAGACCCGCAGAAGGGAAACCTGGTCGTTCAACCTCTTCATTTCCCTGATGACCTCTGGGCTCTTCTCCTCTTTAATCACTTCCTGGGTCACTTCCTTGTACTCCAACTTGGGTTTCTGGGAACGCAGAGTTTTAAGATCCACCATAACTGAGTCGATTTCTTTCTCCAGATCAGTGCGGTTTCGATTAGAGTCCTGCAGCTCTTTCCTTAGCCTCACCAGCTCCACCTCTGTCTCAGGGTCCACCCTGTAGATCTCATTGATGATCTCCTTGACCTCAAGCTTGGGCCGCAGCTTCTCCACTTCACTGTAGCGGATCTGGAGGCTGGTGAGCTCCTTCATCAAATCACTGTTTATCTTGTTCTCCTCTTCCAGGCTGGTGTGGATAGTCTTAACCTCGTCAATGAGTTTAGGGTCCTGTTCCACCCTCTTCAGCACCTTGGTAACAATCTTAGGCTGGATAGTGGGAATGACCCTCTCAAGTGTGTTTATTTGGCTCCTTGTGCGGAATATTTCATCATTGAGGGACTTGGATCTTAACCCCTCCTCTGAGATCTCGGTCTGAAAGGTCAGAACTGCTTTCAGCATCTCCGGGTCCTTCTCCAGTCTCACCACCTCCTTTTTCACTACTCTCTCCTTGATAGTCGGTCTCTTCTGTGCCAGAACTGTGATCTCAGTCTTCATGTGGACCGTCTCTGTATCTCTCACCTGGACCTCCTGCTCCAGCTTGCGCATCTCATCTCTCAGCTTGGTGGCCTCCTTGTCAAGCTGGGGGTCCCTCTCAAACTCAGTCAACACCTTGGTCAACAGCCTAGGTTTGACATTTGTCAGCTCAGTCTCCCGGCGGATGATATTCTCATTGACAACCTTTATGTCTGTCCGGGTACCAGAGCGTTTTACAGTCTCATCTTGGATTCTACTCTTCAGGGACACCAGGTCACTCTCTAGTTTGGGGTCACGGTAGTACTGCACAACTTCCTTCTCCTCCATTCGTTCCACGCCTCTGCGGCTTTTCAGTGAAATAAACCTCTTTCTGTATGTTGCTAGGTCATTCTCAGCATGGGAGCGCCTGGTGATCTCATCCGCCAGCTCTCTCTTTAGAACGTCTGTTTCCTCCAGGTCTTTCTGCTGACTCTGCAGCTGCCGCTGCTGTTTCACCACCACCTGGCTCACCTTCTCTTCATTCTGTTCAGAGCAGGTAACAGTGGACAATTTAGTGTAACCTATACTACTTTATGATGGATTACCGAATCCACTGTGTTGATGTTTTACAAAGTAATTGTGTCATACCTGGGCAATTATGTTCTTAGCCAATCCCATCTTGTTAAGAAGCTGATCATTCTCTGCAGACACCTCTGAGTAGAGGTTCAATAGAGCTCTCTCCTGAAACCGAAACACACAGCCTCTGGTCAGATCATGGATCTTGAATCAATGCCCCAACTTGAATGCAAATTAAGTCAACTATAGGATGAGGATTGTTGCAGTCTCTCAGGTCCACAATACCTTTTTCAGCACAGCGTCAGCCATGGAGGATGTGTGACGTCTTTTGGCATCTTCATCATCCACATCTTTCAGTGTACCACGGTACTTATCAGATTTGGCCTCATACTCCTATGAGACATGGTGAATATTTGTTTACTCTTTTAAGAACAACATTGACCAAAACCGTTCAACTGATATGGACATTTATAATGTTAGCTCTGATTAGATTTAATTTATTTTACTCACATTGAGTACATTCTGCAAGTCACGGGACTGTTTCACAGCTAGGCCCACATCATCTGATTTCCTTTTTATGTCCTCCACCACTCTCTGAAAAGAAAACAAACACACAATAAGAACAAAATAAGCATACTGCAGAGAACTGACGATGTTCATAGCAGACACATTTATTGAGATAAAATAACACAAAAATAAAATAAACCCACAAACCTTCTGAGAGTTCTGCTTGGAGTTAATTTGAGAAAGTCCATCACTTGGCTTGATCGTATTATTAGGCAGGTTGGTCAAAAATAAGTTCAATGATTGGACAGAGCTCTGGAAGCCTTGATTCTTATTGGTTGCCTCTTGCATCAGAAATGTTCTATAACAATATATATATTTGTATTAATCATCAGTATATCATAGACCACAGAAGTAACCACAGACACAAGACACATATAACTGTTACATATAGTTGTGGGACAAATGGGGTTCTCACCTCTCCTGTAGCTGACTGTTGACGTTGGCATAGCGGTTCTTCAGGTGTTTGACCTCTGTCTGCTGGCGGCGGATGTCTGGGCAGTACTCATGGAAGCCCTTCTGCAGGGAGCTGCTCAACTGCTCTGTGGACTCCAAGTCCCTGCTCAGCTTCAGCATCTCGTCCTGCTTTAACGCTACATCCTTCCGCATGTTCTGTTTGTAGGACAAGGGAGAAACACAGGGGACGGATCAAAGAGGATGGGTCAATCAAACAGAACACTTACTGCAACTTGTAAGAGTCCATCATAATGACATGAATTGAACATGTGATGAACTTTAAGTGGTCATATGATTGAAACAGTGTTACCTGAAGCTTCTGGATGCGTGTCTGGAGGACGTTGGGGACATCAGGGATGGCAGCATCTTCAGCCAACTGCTCCTCAAAGCCAGAGACTGAGTTGTCTACCATATTGATCTGCCTCTCCAGGAACATGGAAGCTGTGGCTCTGGTCAAGAGAAAGGACATTAGTGAGTGAGAAGAATCTTGAGGAATTGGATGTAAAAAATAAAATAAATAAAAAACAGTTAAAAAAAAGAACATATAGACAACCCAACCGTTACACAGCTTTTTTATTTATTTCACATTGTAAACTAAATTCATACTTTTTGTTGTACAGGTCACAGAGGACGTTGGTGTCGTCAAACTTGTTGCTAAGACCACTCAGTTTGAGGGACAGGGCGGAGGTGGTGGGCCCAAGGTGCTTCTGGGCTAGGATGGGTTCCATATCTCTCTGGACCGCTGCCTTCTCTGCCTCAAGGTTCCTCACAGTTAGGGTGGCCCTCTGAAGGGAGAAACACACCAATGATATTACACTCTGGAACCACACTGTCTATTATAATTATGCTATGTAGCAGGCTGCAGTGGTCTGAAAAAAAAAAAAAACGATCCCTTCACCTCATGCTCCTTCAGCCTGTTGGCCAGGTCACGTGTGGGGTCACTCCGATCCAGAGGGGCCCTCAGCCGGCTCAGGATGTCCTTCTCACTGTGGTCCAGGTTCTTGCTGATCTTGTCCAGCTGGCTGGCCAGCACTGTGGTCTTTGGGTCCTCTGGGGAACTAGCCACAGGGGCTGAGGAGAAGCAGAGGGCACAGTGAGAAATAAGGGGACAGGAGAGGGCCACACTGAATCTAGTGCCCTGTATCTACTAGGTTCCCACTGTGAGTTCAAACTAAGTGATTTATGCTAAAGTTCTGAACAAGTGGAGTGATGTTCCACTAACCTGCTCTCACTGAGCGCACCACCTCCACACTGGGGCTCCTCAGGGAGGCCATCAGAGTAGTTCTCTTTCTCTTCAGGTTAGAAAGCTCTCTGTCCAGACTGGACACACAAACACACAATGACATAACAGTTTGCCTGTGACGGTGGTTAAGTTTTGGGTCATTGTAATAAGGAGAGTGCACTTTTCTCTCTCTCTTTACCTTTCCACTTTCTCAAGGGCCTCAGTGTCTGGTGGTGGGACCAGGAAGCAGGTTCCAGGCAGGGTTTTGGTCTTCCCAGTGCTGGTCTGGACCTCCCAGTTCTCATTGTCTGAGTTGGACTTTAGCATGAGCTTCTCTGCTTGAGACACTGAGTCCTAAGGGTGACAGGAGTTTGCATCATTATATTGTTCTACAGCTGTCAATTGACAGGACATTAGTTTGCCCTTTAGCTTCTCAGAACTCTCACACTGCTATTCTATGAAGCTATTTTATACCTCTCCGTTGGTCCATTCACACAGGGACACCACGGGGGTGGGTTTGGTGGGGCGGAGACGCCGCAGCTTCAGAGGGGCGATGGTGCTGCTGAACTCCCTCAGGGCTACGAGGCGCTGTTCGTTCCTCTCTATCGCTCTCTCATCACCCTGAGGATATGAGATGCAGAAGAGTATATTAGAGAACAGATTGAAATAATGCTGTACGTCATAGAAACTACTGAACTTAGATACAAAGAATAAACCAAATCTCACCTCAAGCTGTAGCAGGATCTCTGGGTTGCTCTTGTTGTCCAGTGATTTGGGGTCCAGATTAGAGTTGAGTCTCTTCATGGACTCAGACAAAGTCTCTACATCCAGCTGGTACTGTAGGTAGGAACACACATAGGAGCAATGTTACATTGAGCCATGACAACAAGCCATAAGAAACATAATTTCCCAGGGTCAAGAGATGACGTACCTTCCTGTAGTTGTCTATGTTGTCAAGGTGTACCTCCTGGCAGATGCACAGGTTGAGGAAGCTCTGCCACTCATTCTGCAATGCGTCGCTGTGTGCCTGAGACAAACCAAGCATATTGACCCAGGGAAGATCAGAGTAGATGATGAATAACCCAATGTCCTATACTTCAGCTATTACAATGGGAAAGGTTGACATTTTGTAGCCATATAAACATACCCGTATTGTGGAGCTGGCAGGGTGCTTCATTTCAAGGAGATGATCCCCATCCATCTGTAGCTGGATGGTCTCGCTCTCATGTGTTAGCAGAGTGTTGTTTTTGAATTTCTCGTACTCCATGCGCACCCCTGGGGGGTCCAGCATGCGGTCGCTCCAGTCCTTCTTGAGGATCCTCTCCTGGTACTCGCTCAGGTAGACAAGCTCCTTACTGCAGCCCTGCATGTAGTCATACAGAGAGGCCAGGTACCTGTGTCTCCACAGGGAGGCCTCCTGCACCACACAGCATGGGGAGAGACAGAGATCAGTCACACCTGGACTATCTTATAGTCAACGGTGGAGAGATAACACAGGCACAAAGGTTCAAATACAACCACAACAGTGTAGCATTTTGAGCCCCTTTGACATGTCAGAGCCATACTTTAATGCACACACAGATTTATTACATAACTTCTGGACAATAACTCACCAAGAGATCTGTGTACTGTCTCTGAATGGTAGACAACTTTGCCTGTGGACAGAGCGAAACAGAACATGACAATCATTGTTTAGAGTTTATCCCTAGTTTTGGTGAGAAGGAGAGTGAAGAAAGCAGCCAAGGGCTTTGTAGTCTTTACCGGAGAGCCAGTGCTGCTGCGGTTCATTTGGGAGCCGTAAGCCTCGATTTCCTGGTGCAGGATGTTATGAGAGGCAATCTGCTTCTCCACATCAGACAGGTTGGGCCCATACCCCTCTGCACTTATCTGCTTCTATAACACACAACACACAGGTACAGTAAATCCTCTAGAGTTCAGCTAAATGTTGACCTCAAACACATGTCTTGTTAACTTTGTTTGGCTGTTTTCCCCCTGGGGATAATAAAGTGTTGTACCACTACTACTACATTCTGAAATACACTGCTCAAAAAAATAAAGGGAACACTAAAATAACACATCCTAGATCTGAATGAATGAAATAATCTTATTAAATACTTTTTTCTTTACATCGTTGAATGTGCTGACAACAAAATCACACAAAAATGATCAATGGAAATCAAATTTATCAACCAATGGAGGTCTGGATTTGGAGTCACCCTCAAAATTAAAGTGGAAAACCACACTACAGGCTGATCCAACTTTGATGTAATGTCCTTAAAACAAGTCAAAATGAGGCTCAGTAGTGTGTGTGGCCTCCACATGCCTGTATGACCTCCCTACAACGCCTGGGCATGCTCCTGATGAGGTGGCGGATGGTCTCCTGAGGGATCTCCTCCCAGACCTGGACTAAAGCATCCGCCAACTCCTGGACAGTCTGTGGTGCAACGTGGCGTTGGTGGATGGAGTGAGACATGATGTCCCAGATGTGCTCAATTGGATTCAGGTCTGGGGAACGGGCGGGCCAGTCCATAGCATCAATGCCTTCCTCTTGCAGGAACTGCTGACACACTCCAGCCACATGAGGTCTAGCATTGTCTTGCATTAGGAGGAACCCAGGGCCAACCGCACCAGCATATGGTCTCACAAGGGGTCTGAGGATCTCATCTCAGTACCTAATGGCAGTCAGGCTACCTCTGGCGAGCACATGGAGGCCCCCCAAAGAAATGCCACCCCACACCATGACTGACCCACCGCCAAACCGGTCATGCTGGAGGATGTTGCAGGCAGCAGAACGTTCTCCACGGCGTCTCCAGACTCTGTCACGTCTGTCAAATGTGCTCAGTGTGAACCTGCTTTCATCTGTGAAGAGCACAGGGCGCCAGTGGCGAATTTGCCAATCTTGGTGTTCTCTGGCAAATGCCAAACATCCTGCACGGTGTTGGGCTATAAGCACAACCCCCACCTGTGGACGTCGGGCCTTCATACCACCCTCATGGAGTCTGTTTCTGACAGTTTGAGCAGACACATGCACATTTGTGGCCTGCTGGAGGTTATTTTGCAGGGCTCTGGCAGTGCTCCTCCTGCTCCTCCTTGCACAAAGGCGGAGGTAGCAGTCCTGCTGCTGGGTTGTTGCCCTCCTACGGCCTCCTCCACGTCTCCTGATGTACTGGCCTGTCTCCTGGTAGCGCCTCCATGCTCTGGACACTATGCTGACAGACACAGCAAACCTTCTTGCCACAGCTCGCATTGATGTGCCATCCTGGATGAGCTGCACTACCTGAACCACTTGTGTGGGTTGTAGACTCCGTCTCATGCTACCACTAGAGTGAAAGCACCGCCAGCATTCAAAAGTGACCAAAACATCAGCCAGGAAGCATAGGAACTGAGAAGTGGTCTGTGGTCACCACCTGCAAAACCAGTCCTTTATTGGGGGTGTCTTGCTAATTGCCTATAATTTCCACCTGTTGTCTATTCCATTTGCACAACAGCATGTGACATTCATTGTCAATCAGTGTTGCTTCCTAGTTTGATTTCACAGAAGTGTGATTGACTTGGAGTTACATTGTGTTGTTTAAGTGTTCCCTTTATTTTTTTGAGCAGTGTATAAGTTACTCCAAGCAACTAGGAGTTAATACCAAAGGTTTGGTTGCACCAGTAGAAAGCAGTGATCAACCAAAGTTGTTATATAATGGCAGTACAGTACTGTCTACGCCATACTGGTCTTGAATAGAGTATTACCAAGGATATGGCAGGCTCACCTGTTTCTCCTCCAGCACCTGAGTCCAGTCAATCCTGGGAGTGAGCTCTACCTCCTGCACTGCCTCATACAGGTCCCGGTACATGGTACAGTCCTTAGACCAGCGGTCATGGAGGTTTCTCACACTGAGGACCAGAAAAAAATGAGAATTAAGAGGCATAATAAAAGAGGGAAAGAGAGAACATGAGTGTTCAGAACATTCGCTGAGAGCCTCTGGAAAAGTATCTCTGTCACAAAACCATTGTTTCATGTTCTAAGGGTGTGTGTATGTGTGTGTGTGTGTGTGTGTGTGTGTGTGTGTGTGTGTGTGTGTGTGTGTGTGTGTGTGTGTGTGTGTGTGTGTGTGTGTGTGTGTGTGTGTGTGTGTGTGTGTGTGTGTGTGTGTGTGTGTGTGTGATTGTGTGTGTGTGTGTGTGTGTGTGTGTTCTTGCTGGAACTCACTCGCTCTCTATCTCTCCAGCCTGTGGGTGTGAAAGCTTCTTGGCCCGGTCCACATCCAGGAACAGGTCCTTCAGCAGCCCCTCAGCCTCAGCCAGGATCTCTGCATTCTTCTTCTGGTGCAGTAAGGGCCTGTGCTTCTTCTCATTCACTGTGTCCTGGAACAGAAATGGAAACAGACAATGGACTTGTAAATGCCACACAAGGTACTCCCCATCATGAAACATTTGTGTTGAATTGCACCTTGATAAAATATCTGTGGGGGGATTGAAATGTTTTTGCTTGATGAAGTGGAATTTAGGAATGCATATTTCATTGAATAGGGCAGTGTAAATGTTAGGTAAAGGTGTATGTATGTATAACTGTGTAATTACATACACACGCAGTGTGTGGGTAGGGATGGTAGGACCTCTTACCACAGCCATCAGCTCCTCAGAGCGCAGCACATTCTTCTCCACCTGGTCTGCATTGCTCTGCATGCGCGCCACCAGCACGGCCACGTCATTAGCTTGGCTCCTGGGAAGAGAAAAGTCAAACCTCCATTCACATCAGTGTAATTGACACATTGCTGAAACCAGTAGGCCTATCTAAGCGAGCTCAGTAGAACAACCTGAATGTTCAGGAACCAGATTCCAGGTTTGGTAGAATAATCAAAATGAGAACCAGCCTCAGGCAGAACAAAAAGGAATCCTCCCCCATCCAACTCTACAAAGGACTGTCACTCATCCACACTCATCTAGTAATCAACACATCTTTAAGTCTGTGTGTTCTTGTACTTATTGTTCTGTCATTCCTACTAGTAGTCGCTGTTATGAAAGTCAGCTATTTATTCGTACACACCCTCACATTGACGGATTATTGAGGAGTGTCCTCAGGAATTTAGAGTGAATGGGTGACATGGCACATAGAATTCTACTGATGTCCCCATGAATCGCAATTACATTCCAATGGGACAATAAAACTAATAGCGATAGTGGGGGGAGAGATTTACTGTTTAAATATTATGGTATCCAGTATCTCATACATGCCTTGTTGCATCAGGACAGCTTTGAGTCATTTAGACAACTGCTTATCTCTGTTAGTATATGTCGTAAAATGACAAAGTCCACATAGCTGTAGGAGCCATCTAGGTTAGCAGACATATCCTGTCATATCCTGTCATATCCTAAAGAAGGTTAAAAGGAGTTGGATAATGCATAGCTACAGTACCAAAGCAAACAGCACACACACATGTCAGGGTGAGTAGGAGTGTGGCAGGCAGGCAGTAAAAGGAAGCCTAAAAGTCACCCTGCTGGTTCTAGAAGACAGAGAGCTGCAGTGGATCCAGACTCTACACCCTGTCATTCCTTTAGTTTAGAAATGCCCTAGGCATAATGTCAGCCCTTTGGCTCCAAGACACACCCCAGCGTAGGAGTAATGTGGAGTGTGTCCCCGCAAGTGACATGTGATGAGTGACACAGTTCAGTGACGTAAAGGAACTGAAAAATAAGCCTCAGATTATTGATTTATTAAGGCACACTTGAAAGGAACATAGTACATATTGCACAAAGACATCTTATCTATTCATCTCTATGCAACTTTGTATGTACACAAATCTGATTGAAACTATTTAAGCAACAGCACATACCCTCTTCTCTATATAAACATAAATCCTGAGTCTTCCAGCGATGTACCTAAACACATTCCAAATCTGCTGTCTGTTACTCACAGTCCTCACTGAACTTCTGTGAGATCACACTTCTTCAACCAGTGCTTTTATGTGCTCTGGGCTCTTTGTTACCAGGCCAGGCCACCTTAGTGTAACATAGTATTATCCATCAGAGCTATTGTTGCTCTGTCTACATAATTAGTCAGAGCAGCCATCTATTGAATACTGAGAGCAATGTGGAGAATCAATGCACATTAATGTTACACCCCATTGCTAAAGGCACACGAGTGGTGTGGTTACATAAAACACAGTCCAAATACCAATGAGATTTCTCTTTTCTCAGAAAAGTAAACGAATTGTGACAGTTACTACGTAAATTGTTGTCTTGTCTCGTCATCAATCGGCGGCAGATAAGATACATTTTATGCTTATATAAGGTCTGTCCATTTACTTGACATGAGATGTTTCCAATATTAAGTGCTCATAGATCAAATATGATACTTCATCTAAATCATCTACTGCATTGTCTTGGAAGACTGCAGACTCTTAAAAATACACTCCAAGTTGGACTTAGAAAAGACCAGTCAACAAATGCCCACATGTGCAGTGAACTAGATTCCAGGTCACCCCACCAGGGAACACAAGCAGGCTGGGATGCAATGAAAAAGATAAATAAGAGACAGTGAAAAGAGAAGGAAAGAGAAGGAAAGTGAAGGAAAGAGAAGGAAACACGACACACAAACACATAAAAGTTCAGGCAACGGAGGGCAGACTCACTGGGCGACTTTCACCAGGTCGTACTCCTTCTTCTTGCTGAACATCCTGGGAGGCTGTGTGTTCTGTCAGTCCCAGTGCAGTTCTCTCTAGCCGTGTCTCCTCTCTCTAGTTAAAGAGCAGCCACCTGTCTCAGCTCCACCCCAATGAACAGGTGTGTCATCATGAAGGCACTAGACCAAAGGAACAGACCGGATAGACCTGTTCCTCTCTGCTGCTCTCCATCCCACTCTCTCTCTCTCACTCACATTCTCTCCATTCCTACACACCTGCATTCCTATATTTTAATATATTTACTTTGTCTTACCTGGGCATAATAAATAAAGATAGTTTTTTATAGACATTGTTGAATAGGCACTGCTTTTCCAAATCAAGGGAGTCCAACACTAAGAGAGACACATTATTATAACAGTGTGATTCCTCATTGGTAGACTTCCAATGTAGGAACACTGAAATGTAGCAGGGCCAGTCACCTGTTAGATTCCAGGGTGCTACTCACTCACATTTACTGACTTCTTACAAACCAATCTAAATTCATTTCCACCTTGAAACATTGCAGATTGAATTATCTAGTAATGACATTAAACCACTGATTAGTTGTCATTACAAATAGAATATCTAGATTCTAGACATATTTGGGATGAAATGCCAGAACACCAAAAGGCTATAGTGTAATGCCAAACAATATACCAACAGCCACTTCGGCCCAAAGTTCACACTGCATAAAAACATATCCAACAAGAATCATGATAGTTACTACTACATATACCTTTATTGAAGGTTGGGCACCCCACATTCCAACTGTGCTATCCACCCAACAAGCAAACAGAGAAGGACAATAATATTTAGAGAGAGTATCATACTAAGAGGGTGTGATCTGTGGGTAGTAATAATATCACAAAAATGTCCAAGGAAAACTTAAAAGCTATCTGTAGTACTGTTATGACACCTATTTAAATGTAGTGTTAGCTTTTACACACTAGCCCACTACAGACAGGGTGTAGTGAAACTGGACAAGTTAAAACAAGTCTATTATCTAACAACAACCTAAAATAATAATCAAAACGTGACAACTTGATAAGCATTTGACATCACCATTGATCCTTTATTTTGGAGATGCTTTGAGTATGTCAGGAAGTCAAAACTGCACAGACCAACGTGAGTGGTCGTGCTGGTTTGCATTGTATTGTGTTTGTAGCTTAGCCACAGGGCACGGCATCGGACACTACAGTACAGTAGGCTACAGTTCCTCAGGCTTCTGAGTATCAGTGATTATCAGACACACACCCTGTTGAATTACCCCTCTTAGTATAAGGAGTCAAGGTCCCCGAGAGGAATGCAGAGTACCCTTACTGCTGAGGGAAGAGCTGGGGCCTCTGCTGATGGTAGAAAGACAAACATGTATGTATGTGCATTGTGCCCACATAATCCCAGAACCTAATCAAATCCAATTGTTTTTGTCACATGCTTCGTAAACAACAGGTGTAGACTAACAGTGAAATGCTTACAGGCCCTTCCCAACAATGCAGAGAGAAAGAAAACAGAGAAATAATAGAAAAATTATAACACGCAATAATAAAAGTAATAATAGATACACAATGAGTAAAGATAACTTGGCTATATACACAGGGTACCAGTACCGAGTTGATGTGCAGGGATACGAGGTAATTGAGGTAGATATGTACACATAACTAAGAATAAAGTGACAAGGCAACAGGATAGATAATAAACAGTAGCAGCAGCGTATGTAATGAGTAAAAAAAAGTTAGTGTAATAAGGGTCAATGCAGATAGTCCGGGTAGCTATTTGGTTAACTGTTTAACAAACTATTTAGTAGTCTTATGACTTGGGGCTAGAAGCTGTTCAGGGTCCCGTTAGTTCCAGTCTTGCCATGCGGTAGCAGAGAGAACAGTCTATGACTTGGCTGGCTGGAGTCTTTGACCATTTTTAGGGCCTTCCTCTGACACCACCTGGTATATAATTACACAAGCATGTGCAATCAATAGAAAAGTGGGTGGTGGGAGTTTATGTCTGAGTTATATTAACGCTACTAATGCACAATGTGTTGTCTACGGAGTGAAAGCTGTGGTTTAGCATGCTTTTGAGTATCATGCTTGACGTAGGTGTGTCTGGCTCACATCCAGAGCAGGTACTCTCCTGACCAACGGCAACATGCCAGTAGAGAAACAGGCAAGATACTAAAGATACAAAAAGTGAAGAGTGATGAACGAAGAGGGAACTACAGGTAACTGCCAAAATAAAGGAAATATTTGAGTAAGTGAGGGATGCAAAGTATATTGAAAGCAGGTGCTTCCACACAGATGTGGTTCCTGAGTTAATTAAGCAATTAACATCCTTCATGCTTAGGGTCATGTATAAAAAGGCCCAGTTATTATTTTGGCTACCATGGCTAGAAGAAGAGATCTCAGTGACTTTGAAAGAGGGGTCTCAAAGATGGATAGGGGGTTTAAAGGGTGTGTGGGTCTCAGTCACCAGATCTCAACCCAATTGAACACTTATGGGAGATTCTGGAGAGGCGCCTGGGACAGCGTTTTCCACAACCATCAACAAAACACAAAATAATGGAATTTCTCATGGAAGAATTGTGTCGCATCCCTCCAATAGAGTTCCAGACACTTGTAGAATCTACGCCAAGGGGCATTGAACCTGTTCTTGCAGCTCGTGATGGCCAAACACCCTATTTAGAAACTATGTTGGTTTTCTTTATTTTTGCAGTTACCTGTATGCCATACACTAAATGACCAGAAGTATGTGGACATCTGCTTGTCGAACATCTGTAGCTCAATTGGTAGAGCATGGCGCTTGTAACGCCAGGGTAGTGGGTTCGATCCCTGGGACCACCATACGTAAAAATGTATGCACACATGACTGTAAGTTGCTTTGGATAAAAGCGTCTGCTAAATGGCATATTATTATATTATTACTATTATCTCATTCCAAAATCATGGGCATTAATATGGAGTTGATCCCCCCTTTGCTGCTATAACAGCCTCCACTCTTCTGGGAAGGTTTTCCACTAGATGTTGGAACATTGTTGCAGGGACTTGCTTCCATTCAGCCACAAGAGCATTAGTGAGGTCGGGCACTGATGTTGGGCAATTAGGCCTGGCTCGCAGTCGGTGTTCCAATTCATCCCAAAACTGTTCGATGGGGTTGAGGTCAGGGCTCTGTGCAGGCCAGTCAAGTTCTTCCACACTGATCTCGACAAACCATTTCTGTATAGACCTCGCTTTGTGCACGGGGGCATTGTCATGCTAAAACAGGAAAGGGCCTTCCCCAAACTGTTGCTACAAAGTTGGAAGCACAGAATCATCTAGAATGTCATTGTATGTTGTAGCATTAAGATTTCCCTTCACTGGAACTAAGGGGCCTAGCCCGGACCATGAAAAACAGCCCCAGACCATTATTCCTCCTCCACCAAACTTTACAGTTGACACTATGCATTGGGGCAGGTAGCGTTGTCCTGGCATCCGACAAACCCAGATTTGTCCGTCGGACTTCCAGATGGTGAAGCGTGATTCATCACTCCAGGGAACGCGTTTCCACTGCTCCAGAGTCGAATGGCGGTGAGCTTTACACCACTCCAGCCGACACTTGGCATTGCGTATGGTGATCTTAGGTTTGTGTGCGGCTGCTCAGCCATGGAAACCCATTTCATGAAGCTCCCAACGAACAGTTATTGTGCTGACGTTGCTTCCAGAGGCAGTTTGGAACTCGGTAGTGAGTGTTGCAACTGAGGACAGATAATTTTCCCGTGCTACACACTTCAGCACTCGCCGGTCCCGTTCTGTGAGCTTGTGTGGCCTACCACTTCGCGGCTGAGCCGTTGTTGCTCCTAGATGTTTCCACTTCACAATAACAGCACTTACAATTGACCGGGGCAGCCCTAGCAAGGGATCAGAAGTCTTGATGAACTGACTTGTTGGAAAGGTGGCATCCTATGACGGTGCCACGTTGAAAGACACTGAGCTCTTCAATAAGGCCATACTACTGCCAATGTTTGTCTATGGAGATTGCATGGCTGTGTGCTCGATTTTATACACTTGTCAGCAACGGGTGTGGCTGAAATAGCCGAATACACTAATTTGAAGGGTTGCCCACATACTTTTGTATATATAGCAGTGGAGGCTGCTGAGGGGAGAACGGCTCATATTAATGGCTGGAATGGAGTGTAATGGATGGAATGGAGTGAATGGAATGGTATCAAACCCATGGACTATGTTTTTGATACCATTCCATCTACTCTATTCCAGCCATTATTATGAGCCGTTCTCACCTCAGTAGCCTCCACTGATGTATTGTGTATGTTCACAATGTCATCTGTTGAGAAATTATAAAAGTCTCATCTGAGTACACTGTCTAATGTCTGTGAGTAGTAATGCTGGAATCTTCTCTGATGTTTATCACCATGTTAATTGTTCAATTAAAAAAGATGTAGGCCTATCTCACTTCATAATCATAGCTAAGAAATACTCACTCTCTGAGTAAAGCAGCAGTGCTGGGGATGACAAAATCACATCTTTCAAAGTTCAGGTTTTCGTAATGTGGTCATAAGGTGTGGGCTACCGGGGCTGCATATTATTGCATTGTAAATGTCCAATCTCATTTACTGACTTAACAAGTAACCCCACCACACCCCTCCCCTCCCCTATCCCACAACACTACACCACAGGGCAGAACACATACCTGGTTAAATTCCACATTGTGCAAGCCTGGCTGCCATTCATCTGGGAGAGGCTCAGTCAAGAACGCACAAATCATTTACACCTCACAGAGTCTGTACACAGAGAGAACCCATTTCAGTCGAGGTATGTAACTTGAGACACTGAAGAGCAGGGCTTGAACTACATTTACAAGGGATATGGGAGCATAGCAAACAAGGGCACCCCCTTAATCATTGAAAATATCTAAAAGGTCCCCAAGAATAGGTGTTTAATACTTATGATGGCGCAGGCCACTATTTTTAGGGAACTGTCTATTCCATGTCAAATCAAATGTTATGTTCCTAGCTCCAACAGTGCAGTAATACCTGACAATACAAAACAATACACACAAATCCCCAAAATGAAAATAAATATAGAAATATTAGATTGAGCAAAATGTCAGAATTCGGAAAAATCTAATTTCCATTCAGATCACGGCTCTGAAAAAATCTACCTCTCACCCTCAAGCCATCTATAAGAAACTGAGCTCATGGTCGTCCAGGGTAGGGGAGGGAATGGCCGGCAGGGATGTAGCTCAGTTGATAGAGCATGGCGTTTGCAACGCCAGGGTTGTGGGTTCGTTTCCCACAGGGGGCCAGTATAAAAAAAATAATAATAATAATAATAATAATATGTAAGTCGCTCTGGATAAGAGCGTCTGCTAAATGACTAAAATGTAAATGTAATGAGTTCCATGCTTTTCTCCAGCGGGGTGAGACATCACAATTTGCACTCACCATCTGCTTGCATTGTTTGCCATCAAGAATGCTTACAGTACAAGGTGTTTTAAAACAAATTGAATACAGTTGGGAACCAAAACAAAAGGACAATTGGATCTTTCCAGAAAGGTTTAATTGGTGTTTACCTGTAAAATATGTATCATAAGTGTCACTCCACCCAAACAAGTCCCTGCCAACACCTCAGTGGGAAGACAGACAAGGCCAACCAGTTACCCAACCCTCACCACCCTGCTAAGAGAGAGGATGGTTTTATGTGCTGCTCAGTTAAAGCAGGCAGAGAGATTCATTTATGTAAGTAGTGGAGGTGAGTGAATCCAGGCCCTATAATTATCAAGTCTTCAATGATGGATGGCATCAGATGAAAAATTGACTACTCTGTGACTAGTAATTTTCCTTCCAATAAAAATACCAGAGGACACTCCGGTCTAAATTTTTAGATGGCTGTGTTCAAGACATGACAGCTGGTAGTGTTTCCAGTATGCAGACAGGCCACTCCCTCCTTACTGCATTAGGTAAAGTATTATATACATCTCCACTAACAGTGGAAGAAACCACTACTCACAGAGTTGAATAACTACTGAGGGCGCTAATGGTTATAATGAAAAAAAACAGCCAGGTCAGCTGAGAGCCTGTCCTAGCATTGCACAGAGGACACAACACCTGCTCGACAGATGGGGGGGGGTCATTTAATATTTTACAATGTGCCTGTGTACAGTGGTATAAAGTAATTAAAGATACTTGAAAGTCCCACTTAAGTATTCTTTGGGTATTTGTACTTCACTATTTGATTCTTAGTGGCACTCCATGCTCCTTTTCACCTCATTCTACACTAGATTGTCATAAAAGCACATCAATAGGCAGCCCATCTAAGTCATGACAGCACAAGTGTGGGGGGGGGGGGGGGGCACTTTCATTTTGTTCTCTATTGCTCTGCAAGGTGGGAGGCCGATGACATCACGGATTCCCCAGACCAACTCCTTGAAGTTGCAATTGTAAAAATACTGTATTTATAGTTGTAAATCACAGGAGGAAGTCTTTAAATCCAAGTATACTATAGCATCAATTTGGCATAACTGCAAACCTCAACTCATGCATATTCAACCATAAGTATTTTCACTTATTTAAGACATCAGCCATGTTCATATAACCTGCTAGACAAAACTAGGTATGTTTAGATTGGACCTTACACTGCCAAAGTAATCCTAGAGTAATTCCCTACTACTCCCGAGCGTTCATCCATTTACCAGATGTGGAGGCAAAGTGGAACAGACTCAAGCGTTACTGAAATTCATGTAAAGGTGTAAAAGAATGCAAGAGAAAATATGTGTTCTTGGTTTTTAATTCGAAAGGCCATGCAGTGCCTCCCAGTTAAGATCTTAACATGTCACTTTAAATGGTACAGGTGGGACAAAACAATACATCTGCAATTAACTAGTACAAAATAACAAGACTAAACGTTACAGAGGAATGAAACAAATTAAATAAGTAAAAGAAAGCAAAACTGTGCGCCATCACTATTGCTGCACTGCAGAACCCACCCCTCCCCCCCCCAGGACTCGATAGAGGTTCAAAAATCGGTTGAACCCGGTTGTGTAAAAAATAAAACATAACAGTACAATTTTGGATAGAGTATAGGACTAAACAGGACAAAAAAGCATGAAGTTACCATCTTTACTTTGATGTGCATGTTCACTGTGGGAATTGAGGGGGCATGGGGTAGGGCACCATGGGCGGTGGTGCTTGTTGCTGTGTGAATGGGAACTGTTGATGGCTCATGCCATTCTGTGCACCCCCCTGGTTGGCACCAAACTGTGGGGCCTGGAAGTTCTGCGTTGGGAACGCCCCAGCCTGGCTGGCACCATAGTTTGACTGGCCATTGCTGCCGAAGCCACCACCGCCAAAACCATTCCCGCTTTTGTCAAAGCCACTTGTCCCATAGCCTCCGCTTTGTGAATTTGTGCCAAAGACCTTCTTTGGTCCACTGTCAAAACCTCTATCGTTTTCCCTGTCCCTAAAGCTACTGAAGTCACGCCTGCCCCCGGAGGAGTACCTGTCCCGGCGGTCATCCCTAAATCCACTACCACCTCTGCCTCCCCTTGAATGACCTGAAAGGAAAACACATGAACAAATTAGAATGGGCTGTCATGCAAGTTGGTGTGACATGAAATGGGTACATGGGAAAACAGACACATGGTAGGGGTAAATAAACAATGGTTTCAAGACAAACTAACGTGAACATCTATCAAGATCCCATAGCTTTGACTGTGCCAAACCCATCCACGTCAATAAAAAAAAAAGTGAAAAAAATGGCTGCAGCTGAACCACAGTTCCTGTATCTCACCAATTAGATTTACCTCCTCTGTCCGCCATCTGGAGGAGTTTAGGGTTGATGGCCTGGTTGGCCTCACGGAGCACAGCGACGAGGTCGCTGGCCTGTCTCATGTTGTTGGGGGTGAAGAAGGTGTAGGCTGTGCCAGTCTTTTGGCTCCGGGCTGTTCTGCCGATGCGGTGGATATAGTCCTCAGAGTTGTTGGGGTAGTCAAAGTTGATGACAAATTTCACATCTTCAACATCTGTAGGATGTGTTGCAGTGTGGCAACAAAAGCAGAGGGAGCGCATAAAGATGCACACCACAACAGCCAGACCAAAAGAGCAAAGTTAGTACAACCATTCACTGGATGTAGCTGGTTTTTCCACAAGGCTGTAAAGAATAGCATTAGACAACTTTAGAAAGACTTAATCCGTGGGGATACTACGGTGGGAAGAGAGAAACGATGCACACTCCAAACGCTTCCAATCCAGATAACCCCTCACTTAATTCTCAACATCCCCCCAAAAACAAGGGATCAGAAGTCTTACCATAAAGGAGTATGCATTCACTAGTCCATTCCCATTGCAGCAAACTCCCCACACAATGTCAAGTGACCGCCGGGTGCTTCTACACAGTAAGGCCGCTATACGCACTGTTGCCTCCTCATGTGCCAAAACTAGGACCGTATGGTGACAACGAAGGCCCTTTCTTCACACACTCATAAGAAGCTTGCTATAAAGGCCACACTGCAACGTCTTGCCAAGACCATAAACAATTGGGGGGGGACCCTAAAAATGGAGCCACTTACTCCTGTGACCCATAAAAAAAAAAGTAGCCCCAATCAAGGCAAGATATTCCCAGAACCAGTGTTCACTTGATCAAATGTCTCGTTGGCAGGTCTCGACATGACTTGAAACTCAGGTGAGGGAGGAGTGCGAGCTTGGATTTTGTCCCCAGCCAACTGACATGACCCACTGACACTAAGCGCCAGTAGCCATATCATTACAGAGGTGAACGTGTAATTGGACTTACAACTGCTCTCAAAACAGAAGTTTAGGAAACTGCCTCATTATGTCACACGTTCTTTGAGAAAAGCTACACCTTCCAGAACTCAATGACTTGCAATACAATGCCCAAACCGACATGCAAGACATGGAAACAGCAGAGCCTGGTGGAGACATGAGCTTGGGTGTGAAGCAGTCCAAACCGATGCCAGAGAACAGCTGCATTTACAGGGGTGCGGCTGCTAACCCTCATTTAGGCCCCCGTTTGGGCAGCCCAGCGTGATATTCAGCACTCAGGCCCCGCCACCTCTGTATGTGACTGGGTGACGTCCCAGTCAGGACACCTCCAAGAGTCCTCCTTCCCCCTCTGGAGACCTGGGCGTGTCATGCCAAGGCCCTGCCTCAAAAGACTGCTCCTTCAGATAGGGGAGAAACTCAGAAGGCAGAAGAGTTACAGAAAGAAACACTTTCTTTCAGAGAAAAGTTGGTACAAGGGACCAAGGACAGAATGAAACTAACCTAGACCCCTGGAGGCGACGTCTGTGGCAATGAGAATCGGCGCCTTTCCGAACTTGAACTCTGAAAAAAGGAAAGGAAATTGTTAACTGGCCATAAAAGGTCAAGGAGTCATACTAAATTGTTAATGTGGCTAAAACTCACCATTGAGCACCCAGTCCCTCTCCTGCTGGCTCTTGTCTCCATGGATGCCCATTGCTGGCCAACTAAAGGAGGGAGCAAGTGTCAATTGAGTCCAGTAAAACACATGAGTACCCTGACAGTTTCAAGAACTAAGTATTGATGCCACTTACCCATCCCTCCTCATCCTCCTAGTGATCTCATCACACCTCCTCTTGGTCTCTGTAAATATTATAGTCTTGTTCTCCTTCTCACTCATGATCTCCTCAAGTAGGCGGAGGAGTCTGAAAAGGGAAGGCAGTGAAGGATTAAATTAGTGACTTAACACTATCGTCAAAGTCATATTTTCCACCCAATACATAGACAAGTATAGAAATGCCACAGATCAGACACACAAGACTCACTTGTCTTCCTTCTCTCCATCGTTGCAAACATCCACAATCTGCAGGATGTTGTGGTTGGCACTCAGCTGCAGAGCTCCCACATTGATCTGGACGTAGTCCTTCAGGAAGTCCTCGGCCAGCTGGCGCACCTCTTTGGGCCAGGTGGCACTCCACATCAGAGTCTGTCGGTCAGGCTGTAGAGAACAGGGAAGGCATCAGAATTCTTCCTTGACAACTGTACCAAGTGAGATAGCCAGACTATTATTAGCACATCTAATGCATCACAACAGAACTCACTCGGATTTGGTCCACAATTTTTCGGATTTGTGGCTCAAAGCCCATGTCGAGCATTCGGTCAGCCTCATCCAGAACCAGGTAAGTGCATCTACGCATGTTGGTCTTTCCTGCCTCCAGAAAGTCAATAAGCCTGCCGGGTGTGGCAATGCAAATCTCCACACCTATTTATATATAAAAATAAACATATTGAGCACCAGATAATTCCATAGATTCAATTCAGCCAAAAACAGAGTTGTTGTGGAACTTACCTCTATCCAGGTCTCGGAGCTGTGGCCCTTTGGGTGCACCCCCATAAACACAGACAGACTTCAGGCGAGAAGCTCTACCGTACTCTGCCGCCACCTGCTGGACCTGCTGAGCCAGCTCACGGGTCGGGGCAAGAACTAAGCACTGAAAGAAAGATTGAATACCATAAATCCATGTTGGGTGGATGAGAGATTAGATACAAGTCTTTGAATAGCCATGGGTACTTACAATGGGTCCATCTCCACGTTCCAGGAAAGGCTGGTGGTTAATGTGCACGATTGCAGGCAACAAGTACTACAGGAAAAAAAAAGACATTGCATTACAGTAAAGAAAAAGACCACCAGTCCCCTTATTTTTAAGAGCAATTCTAGGTTGTTGGAATAGTCAAGACTCAGATTCTCACAACACACTTACCGAGAGAGTTTTCCCAGAGCCTGTCTGTGCAATGCCAACCATGTCCTTGCCACTCAATGCCAGTGGCCAACCCTGTGCTTGGATGGGTGTTGGTTCTGTCCAGCCTGCTTTGTTAATGACATCCATCACGTAGGCTGTGCAAAAGGGGGGGGGGGTAAGTACATGAACACCAACCCAGATTGAAGACAAGTCTGGAGCATAAATAAATACTTCCACTAATATATGCCACATTCAGTTGATGTACTTACTTGGAAAACTGGCTTCATGGAACTTCATAATTGGATTAGGGCAGTCCCTTCCCTTCACAGTAACAGCTTTAGTACTTCTGTACTGTGCAACCTCTTGCTGCAATGACATGTAGAGACTCAGATCAATTGGCATGGCAATGAAAAAGGCCATTGCTGATTGGGCAACAAATGAACATGTGCAAGAACACATTCCAATGGCCATTATGTAACATTTACAGTAAGTCAACTGTATCTGGATTTTGACCACTAGCGTACATACCGGAGATCTCCGAGTAACTTCGGGGTGCTCTTGGTAAAAGTTCTTTTCGAATTTAGAGAGTTCGTCAAGGTTCCAGTGCTTCTTGCGCAGTCTGTCGCCGGGATTACCAAACTTTCCCCCACCTCCTCCTCCTCCTCCTCTTCCACCGCCTCCAAAACGAGGTGGTCCGCTGCCATAACTGGGGAAATTAATGATCTAACGTTAGTCACTCCAACCAATGTAAAAAGAGATAGGATACCAGCAGAAAACTCGCTTGCTTAAGCGCAAATCAAGTTTTACCTTTTAGATTTAACAGAACATTGTTTAGTGACCGCTAACTAGCAGTCAGCTAGTTCAACATTAAATTATAAACGTCAATGCAATGCAGAGTTCCAAGTTAAACATAAAACTATAAGAAATGCTTGTTTTATTGGACTCTGCGTCACGTTAAGACAGCCATCTTCAATGTATCCGGATTCCGGCAGAGGAACAATGAAAAAAACCGGCCGGCATTTTGTATCCGCATTCAATAATGCCACATGGCGTACAAATACATTTAGTCGGTTAGCTTGCCTGTTATCGGACACTTGCTGTACTATGTGGTACATAGTTAATGTTCCAAAAATTTCATACATTTGAAAGTTATTTGGCCGATTACAACCCCTGGCTAGCTTGTTCGCATTTTAGTTAACAGGCCGCCAGCAGGTCAGGCAGAAAGTGTCTTGCTAGTTTAATGACGAACCGAGGCCTTTAAAAACGTTGGTCCCTACTGATTTGAAAATACTTAAGGTAGATCATAATTTTGATAATTTCCATTTAGAGTAAAGTGAACTTACAGACTGTCGTATTTAATCATAAAAAACGACATATGCCTCGCTAGCTAAACAACGAGTTAGCTAGCTACCGTTATCCCGTGCGTCATGGCATCCATTTCTGGCGAGACAACACGAGGTGTTAAATTCGCCTAAAATGTATTAATTCAGACACTTACCCTCTATCTCTACCACGATCTCTGTCGGAAAATCCAGGCATCTTGTAAACAAAGTGTATAAATAAAAACGATAAATAAACTACGTCTGAAAACCCGATATCAGACCCGACCGGCAGTGATTATGCTGAAATGCCGGTGAACTGAAAAAGAGAATCCGCTTTTATTGCATGAGGAAGTGTCACGTTGTCTGAGTGAAGTATTAATCCGCCGTGAACTGACATTGCATAACGTAACATTCAATGCTATTTGAAAGGAACACGTGCCGATTTTGCGTCTATGGTCCGAAAATTGTGTGAAATAGAGGGGGTAATTCTGTCGCAATGTGTTAATATTGTTAAAGCTGCCTTTTTTTTATTTTTTTTATTTAACCTTTATTTAACCAGGTAAGCCAGTCGAGAACAAGTTCTCATTTACAACTGCGACCTGGCCAAGATAAAGCAAAGCAGTGCGGTAAAAACAACAACAACACAGAGTTACATATTGGATAAACAAAACGTACAGTCAAAAACACAATAGAAAATCTATATACAGTGTGTGCAAATGTAGTAAGTTATGGAGGTAAGGCAATAAATAGGTCATAGTGCAAAATAATTACAATTTAGTATTAACACTGGAGTGATAGATGTGCAGAATATGATGTGCAAATAGAGATACTGGGGTGCAAATTAGCAAAATAAATAACTATATGGGGATGAGGTAGTTGGGTGGGCTAATTACAGATGGGCTGTGTACAGGTGCAGTGATCGGTAAACTGCTATGACAACTGATGCTTAAAGTTAGTGAGGGAGATAAGAGTCTCCAGCTTCAGAGATTTTTGCAGTTCGTTCCAGTCATCGGGCAGCAGATAACTGGAAGAAATGGCGGCCAAAGGAGGTGTTGGCTTTGGGGATGGCCTTATAGATAAAGTATTTGTATCCCATATGAAAATCCATTATTAATTTTTTTTTTTTTTAACAAATGCTATTCCAAATTTAATCTCTAATACGACAGACTGCAATTGTGCCCAGCTGGTCACATTTTATCAGGTGTATCACAATAACCACGTTTCCATCCAGTTTTTATACGAGTAAATTCATACCGTATTAACAGCTGTGATGGAAACAGGACGTTTCGGTACAATTGTATAAATGCCGAGAGATAATTTGTTCGTTTGACATGGTGGGATCTTTTTGTGTCCGTAAAATTAATTATGCGATAAATGGCGGTGGAAACGCCTTTATGCGCAAATATGCACGCGACGATATGGTATGACTCAGGAAACCATTCCGTTTATTAGGCTACATATGAAATACGTTTTTATGAACTTCACAGGTTGGTGATCTTGATGCTACTTTCCAATAAATATTGAGGGTCTGATTATGACATGATCGATGCTTGACTGCCGTTTGACAAATAAACACATTTTCGCTCTTAGGTGTATCAGAGCGATATATTTAGACATAGCTCTCTGGGTGTATCACTTGGGATTATTTAATGAAACCTGTTGGCGAAAGCATATGTAAAAAAGCAAAAAAACAGTTGTGATCCGGTTGCTTTGCGTTTACCATAAGTGACGTCAGAGCTCAAAGAAGGCACATCCAGTAAAAAAAATAATGGCTAGATGGCAGTCTCAAACTAGTGAAGTTGATGGTGCACCCCCACCTACACACAATACCCCTTAGTGTCAGGGCAATGAAAAGCTGAAATATCTCGAGTTATAATACGTTTTCTACCCCTTTGTTATGGCAAGTCTAAATAAGTTTAGGAGTGAACATCTGCTTAATAAGCTGCATGGACTCACTGTGTGCAATAACAGTGTTGAACATAATTTTTGAATGACTACCTCATCTCTGTACCCCACACATAAAATCATCTGCAAGGTCCCTCAGTCGAGCAGTGAATTTTCAAACACAGATTCAACCACAAAGACCATGGAGGTTTTCCAATGCCTTGTAAAGAAGGGCACCCATTGGTTAAAAAGAAAACAGATATTGAATATTATTTTGAGCATGGTGAAGTTATTGACTACACTTGTATCAATACACCCAGTCAAAGCAAATCAAATTGTATTTGTCACATGCGCGGAATACAACAGGTGTAGACCTTACAGTGAAATGCTTACTTACAAGCCCTTAACCAACAATGCAGTTTTAAGAAAGAATACCCCCCAAAAAACACAAAAAAACACAATATAAAATAATACAAAATAAAAGTAACACAATTAAAGAGCAGGAGTAAAAATAACAATAGCAGTGCCTTGCAAAAGTATTCATCCCCCTTGGCGTTTTTCCTATTTTGTTGCATTACAACCTGTAATTTAAATTGATTTATATTTGGATTTCATGTAATGGACATACACAAAATAGTGCAAATTGGTGAAGTGAAATGAAAAAAAATAACTTGTTTCAAAAAATTCTAAAAAATAAATAACAGAAAAGTGGTGTGTGCATATGTATTCACCCCCTTTGCTATGAAGCCCCTAAATAAGATCTAGTGCAACCAATTACCTTCAGAAGTCACATAATTAGTTAAATAAATTCCACCTGTGTGCAATCTAAGTGTCACATGATCTCAGTATATATACACCTGTTCTGAAAGGCCCCAGAGTCTGCAACACCACTAAGCAAGGGGCACCACCAAGCAAGCGGCACCATGAAGACCAAGGAGCTCTCCAAACAGTCAGGGACAAAGTTGTGGAGAAGTACAGATCAGGGTTATAAAAAAATATCAGAATCTTTGAACATCCCACGGAGCATTATAAAAAAATGGAAAGAATATGGCACCACAACAAACCTGGCAAGAGAGGGCTGCCCACCAAAACTCACGGACCAGGCAAGGATGGCATTAATCAGAGAGGCAACAAAGAGACCAAAGATAACCCTGAAGGAGCTGCAAAGCTCCACAGCGGAGATTGAAGTATCTGTCCATAGGACCACTTTAAGTCGTACACTCCACAGACCTGGGCTTTACGGAAGAGTGGCCAGAAAAAAACCATTGCTTAAAGAAAATAATAAGCAAACACCACTGGGGGAGGGGGGTGTAGAAGGATTACTGTTAGACTATTCCAGGTATTCCTTAAAGAGGTAGGGTTTCAAGTGTCTCCGGAAGGTGGTCAGTGACTCCGCTGTCCTGGCGTTGTGGGGGAGCTTGTGCCAGAGCAGCGAATAGCTTTGACTGGGCTGAGCGGGAACTGTGCTTCCGCAGAGGTAGGGGGGCTAGCAGGCCAGAGGTGGATGAACGTAGTGCCCTCGTTTGGGTGTAGGGTCTGATCAGAGCCTGAAGGTAAGGAGGTGCCGTTCCCCTCACAGCTCCGTAGGCAAGCACCATGGTTTTGTAGTAGATGCGAGCTTCAACTGGAAGCCAATGGAGTGTGCGGAGGAGCTGGGTGACATGAGAGAACTTGGGAAGGTTGAACACCAGACGGGCTGCAGCGTTCTGGATAAGTTGTAGGGGTTTAATGGCACAGACAGGGAGCCCAGCCAACAGCGAGTTGCAGTAATCCAGACGGGAGATGAAAGTGCCTGGATTAGGACCTGTGCCGCTTTCTGTGTAAGGTAGTGTCATACTCTGCGAATGTTGTAGAGCATGAACCTGCAGGATCGGGTCACCGCTTTGATGTTAGCGGAGAACGACAGGGTGTTGTCCAGGGTCACGCCATGGTTCTTTGCACTCTGGGAGGAGGACACAATGGAGTTGTCAGCTGTGATGGCGAGATCATGGAGCGGGCAGTCCTATCTCGGGAGGAAGAGCAGCTCCGTCTTGCCGAGGTTCAGCTTGAGGTGGTGATCTGACATCCACACTGATATGTCTGCCAGACATGCAGAGATGCGATTCACCACCTGGTTATCAGAAAATTAATTGTGTGTCGTATGCGTAGCAATGATAGGAGAGACCATGTGAGGATATGACAGAGCCAAGTGACTTGGTGTATAGAGAGAATATGAGAGGGCCTAGAACTGAGCCCTGGGGGGCACCAGTGGTGAGTGCACGTGGTGCGGAGACAGATTCTCGCCACGCCACCTGGTAGGAGCGACCTGTCAGGTAGGACGCAATCCAAGAGTGAGCAGCGCCGGAGATGCCCAACTCGGAGAGGGTGGAGAGGAGGATCTGATGGTTCACAGTATCAAAGGCAGCAGATAGGTCTAGAAGGATAAGAGCAGAGGAGAGAGAGTTAGCTTTAGCAGTGCGGAGAGCCTCCGTGACACAGAGAAGAGCAGTCTCAGTTGAATGACCAGTCTTGAAATCTGACTGGTTTGGATCAAGAAGGTCATTCTGAGAGAGATAGCAGGAGAGTTGGCTAGAGACGGCACGCTCAGCCATTAAACTCTGTAACTGTTTTAAAATCAGCATTGGCCTCATGGTGAAATCCCTGAGCGGTTTCCTTCCTCTCTGGCAACTGAGTTTGGAATGATGCCTGTATGTTTTAATTTCACCCATCTACCAATAGGTGCCCTTCTTTGCGAGGCATTGGAAAATCTCCCTGGTCTTTGTGGTTGAATCTGTGCTGAAATGCACTTCTTGACTGAGGGACCTTACAGATAATTGTGTGTGGGGTACAGAGATGGGGTAGTCATTCAAAAACCATGATAACCACTATTATTTGACACAAAGTGAGTTGATGCAACGTATTATTGTCACACCCTGGCTCTGGGGACTCTATATGTTGAGCCAGGGTGTGTAGATTCTATGTGTTTTGTGTTCTATGTTAATTATTCTAGTTGTTCTGTTTCTATGTTGGCCAGAGGGGTTCTCAATCAGAGGCAACGAGTGTCAGCTGTTGCTGGTTGTCTCTGATTGGGAACCACATTTAAACAGGCTGTTTTCCCACAGTAGTTGTGGGATCTTGTTCCTTTTGGTTTGTTCCGTATGGTTTATATTGTAGCCAAGGACTTCACGTTTCGTTATTGTTTGTTGTTTTGTTCGTGTGATCATAATAAAGTAAAGTATGTTCGCTCATCACGCTGCGCCTTGGTCTACTCCGTTCAACGATCGTGACAGAAGATCCCACCATACCAGGACCAAGCAGCGTGTCCAGGAGCAGGCAGCCTGGACGTGGGAGCAGATATTGGACGGGCAGGGGTCCTGGACCTGGGAGGAAATCCAGGCCGGGATGGATCGCCGTCCGTGGAAGGAGACGGTGGAGGCGCGACGAAGAGAGGAGCAACGGCGTAAACAGTGTCGTCGTCGGACGGACGAGAGGCAACCCCAACATTTTTTTAGGGGGGGCACA